AGCGCCATTCAACCCAAAGAAAAAACCTTTAAGAAACCCTTGAGCAGCAAAATCTTGAGACCCATCTAATTGAACAAGACAAAACTGAATTTTTAATTTTCAAAAACTCATTTTCAATTGAACAGGATTCTCGATTAAAAAGAAGGCTCGTTGATTTTATTCTTAGCTTGGCCTAACCAATTTTATTCTGACATACTTTTCACCATTAAGTTAGCACAATTGTATGTATAACTCACTCAATTAATTTGATTTATGTTCATTCCAAAACGCTAGCCTGTAATGCACATTGCGCTAGGCAGCGACCTGTGTAACTTTTTTACTGCAATATAATTTGAAATAAATGTATAATGAACTGAAAAAATCTTTTGTGAAAAAATTCGACCAATTCGTGTTTTACGTATACAAAAAATATATTCAAATTGGCATGTATATATACGATCATTGTATCATATAATTTATTTTTGTATATGCCATCCGTTTCAACATGAACTGGTCTGTTTGGACGACTGGATAATTCATGAGAATAAGTTGGCTTTAAGGGTGTGGATGTCGATGGTAGTTCATTTTTATTTTCGTCTAAATAAGTGTCCGTTTAATTCATTCTGTATCGGCACTTTTAACGACATCTAGAAAAGATAAACAACCATAATTAGCTATTGAGCTTTAATACACTGACTCTAGTGTAATAGATATATTAACTTCCATGGATTTAGTATGGTAACTTTAAAATATGTTCATGGTATTTATTGGTTCAAAACACGACAATATGGAGCTCAAAACACGGTAGGGTAGGAAATGAAACACGGTAGGATCGTAAGAGAAACGTGAGTGGGTCGGATCCATTCTAAAAAATTAACCTGCAGAGTCGGACCCTCTTCTAATTTGCTTTTGACCATTTTAAAATCAGTATATACCAAGAAACATTCAATTGGCGTTATTTCATCGATCAATATATACAAAGGCTTCATTTGGTTTACATAATATACCACAATGTAGTATATTTGACACGTAAATAACGATAAGGAAGCAGAAACTCACTCTTTCCGCATGTATGTCGTCACCACAAATAAATCCAATGTTTTTGAGCATTCAAATACTTAGACAATTTTTTTTCAATTTAATATTCATATATTTATCAATTTAAATCGCGCAGTATAAATGTAAACTCAAAGAATACTCTAATAATAAAACTCACCTCCGAATTTCCTCCCTAGCCTATAGAGGCGGTATGGTCGGATCTTGTGCACACGAACGGACCATATCATACGGAGCGGGATGTGGACCGTGAATTATGTTTGGAGGGATTAACTTTATTCAGAATAAACCTCCTTTTTTCGAAATTACATATTGAGTTAGTTCCTAAGTCGTTAAGACAGTCAGACTTAGTAGTACGTACTAAGTTATTTAATAAGTTACGCATTTACCTACCTTCTGGAAGAAAGTAATATCTTACTTTTGGTTTTATTGTGCTATACTCCTTGGTTGGTAATAATTCTTTAGAAGCTTTTGCTAATATCTTGCTGACAATTGATCACATAAAATCTGTGAATTTAGTGCCAAGTGAATTATTTCTCTTAGAAATATAGACCTGTGAAGTATCATAGGACTAAAATCCCACGTGTGACATTTTCTTTAAAATCACGTAAATTTTATTTTGCAACATTGCAGCCATGTCGTTCAGGCTCGTTGATTTCTCACAGCTAGAGGTATTCCATTCTATGTTTTTCTTTTTCAACAAGTTTCTTTAATAAAATATTTAAAATTATTTTAAATAACGCTTTTAAAATATATCTAACTAAATGGGGGGGGGGGGGGCGGGGGCATGTCCGCTGGGTCATTGACCACCTTCACCCGGCATACACAATAGGGAGGGAGGGAGGGAGGAACGGACGGGATGGATTGAAGGGTAGGTGCATGGATGGATGGGCGGACGGGGGCTCAGAAGAGATAAATTGTAAATAGAATGAGATTGTAAGCGATTTCATAATGGACTTTATCACCGTTAATTAAGTATACTATTGACACCAAATCAATTTTCTTTATTGTAACATTTACAATTACAATATTGAAATATGTATTCATTTATTCGTTACGATACAATACAGTACATTACAAAACAACATGTTCCTATAACTGTTTCTCAACTTCACCAAAATCTTAAGTACACTTATTGAACTTTCATCGTTTTAAGGTTTTAGTATAAGAAAAATTTATCCTCACTCAACACAAGTTCCCTTTTCAATACTTTACGGTGGGGATGGTGAGTGTCAATAACTTCTTTGAAACTAGTGATCAAATAATAAGCACTGGCCACCAGGATTGACCATTCTTACTAATAAATGCTATCATAAATCCCTCCAAGTTGAGTATTACGTCATTACTTATCACATGGTCTACACTCGGGGGTTCATACGCTCATAAATACGTCTTTTCCTGTTAAAACATCTTTTATTCGTGAAGAAATAGTAATTTTCTGCATTTTTTTGAATCATTGAATTGCATCTTGTCCAGTTAAAATATATGCTTTCAGAATCAAATACTGGTTATCAATACCATTCCAACTTTCGTAAACAAGCTCGATCGTAATTGAGACATGGGCACAATATTTTCTAAACACTCAAATGATTAAATAATGTTTACATTTCACTATGTTTTATCGTGTGTAAAGACTGACAAGCCATACTGACCATAGGAGTAGCCAGGGGGAAGGGGGATCCCAAAACAATAAAAAAAAAGCTTTAAATGCTTTTTATTTGAAGCTTCTAGCTCAATTTTGAAGGAAGTTGCATCAATTTTTGTTTGTAAAATTCAAAATAAATCTTATTTTGGCTTGTTTATGCCACAATCGCACCCCATGACTGAATGAAAGGACCCACGGTCCTAGGCTCACACAGTTTGGAACCTTCAGAGGAATGTACGTATATCCTGACTTTCAAACAAAAATATTGATTTGGATTTGTAGTCTCGAACTTTGAGAAACTTAGATAGCACAGTTGTGTGACCTAGTTTGATGACCTTTGACCTTGAAAATTTTACTTAGTCAGAGCTCAGTAAGGTCTTTTGTGACTAAGCTGACCAACATTTACATCCAAAAATCAATTTGAAAAATCAACTTTTTGGACCTTTCGAAGGTCAAGTAAAGGTCAAATCCTAAAACTAATGTCAGATTTGAACTCCTGGCAACTTGTAGATGATTTTCAAAAAAACATTGGTCGAATTGAAGCAAGTTGAAAAATAACTTATTTTTACTGTTTTTTGACGTCAAATATCTCAAAAACGGTAAAAATTTGATGCTGACATATATTGAGCAATATGTAGGGAAGGCTTAAATCTAGTAATAATGTAATTCATTGCAAGAAATGATCAAGCATAAGGCAAACTTTGAGAAACTTGTCAATCACAAAACCTGCCATTGACTTTATACATGAGAAAGTTTCCTGAAAATGGAAGTCCTACTTTTTGTCAAATTTTATAGAGTAAACACCAAAAACTTTAATTCCAAGAGCTTTGAAATCTTCAGAGGACATAAGTTGCATATAAAACAATTACTACAAGTTATTTGAAAGTTCTTCTTCAACAAAGTGTCTAGTATTTACAGAAAATTTGACTTTTTGACGTCAAAATCAGCAATTTCTCGGAAACCGGGCGAACTTGGGAAATGGCGATGATAGGTCAAATAGGCATTATGGATATGCATAAAATGAATGTGGATATGACTCAATCCGAATAGCAGTTTTAATTTGTGCGGCCAATGTTGACGGACGGACGGACCAACGGACGGACGGACGCCTGGTCGATCCCATAGGCTCACAGTGTGAGCCAAAAACGAAATGTTTTGGCGATCGCACACCCCACCCACCCCCCGAATGAAAGCTGGCTACGCCCCTGCTGGCGTCACGTCATGGGCCAATCATATTACTGGATAGGTTGACGTCATGTCATGGTCCAATCATATTATGAGGTTATACTATGGTTGATTATGTATATCGTGTTAAATACTCACAAGAGTTTATCCTGTTCCCGGACTATGGTCCTGTGAACAATGTTCACAGGACCATTTCACTGAACATCTCACTCTTTTGCCTGTGCGATTACAACATGGGAGAATTTTTTACGCTTCTTACACTTCAGATACCTATTTCAATAGATTCCTTGGTATTTTAGCATTCTTTTCGTGTAGTTGAATCCACAATTGTCTGGGTTTATCGGCAGAACGAAGACATTTTCGTTTTTGATCGCAATATTTGCGTGTAACATTTAACTTATTTCAACCGTCACATTCCTCCATATTGGTACTTCCGGTCCACATCCGGGACAGTCATACGGGGGATTCCCCTTTTAAATCCAACCGCCATCTTGAAAAGTGATGGAATCTCTCTCGATGAAAAAGAAAAATGTTCCCGTTCTGCCGATATACCCAGACAATCGGCGGTTCCAATATATTAGAAGTTACATTTTGAGTTCTATAATGCATTGAGGTAGGTATCTTGAGTGTAAGGGGCGTAGATAATTCTCCCAAGTTGTAATCGTACAGGCAAAAGAGTGCGCTCCATACAGGACTATAGTCCTGGTACGGGATAAACGAGAGTATAACGATATACAGAATCAATCATTATATGACCTTATTATCCCTCCCTTAATTGAGCAGTATATCAAGTCTAAGAGTTGTTTACGCTGCCCATGAGTTGTATATCGTTCTTAAGAGTTGTATACGATGAGTGTTGGTTTCATATTGCAGTTATACAATTCTATTATACAATCATAAAGCACCTAAGGTCGGATAATACTGGATATATAATGGTCAAATCACGATATATTGGCGTTACGTCATGGACCAATCAGGCTATATTGACGTCATGTCTTGGGCCAATCAGATCGCTGGAGTCAAGGATTAGATGAATACTTAAACGCGATCAGCATCGAAGCATGATGTTGAAGAATGTTAGTTTTTTTCATCCACGGTTTCTCAAGTCTTCAAATCATAAGTCCCGATGTCCACTTCAGTAATAATCGGGTCCGGGTGCTGAAAATATAGATGGCAGTTAGTTGCCGGTGTAAAAGGGCAGGAGGTCCTATCAAATTATGGTCCTACTCTCCGTTGATTTATATGGTGACCTAAATACAACTCTCCCTCATTATCAATTAATGTAAGTAAGGGCCGTTAAGAAAGGGGACCATACTCCCTGTGGGACCATCTATCATTTCTTTCACACCGGGTTAATCTTGCATCAAGCCCTCGCTATCCATTGCATACACCTCCACATGTGAATATAGACCTTCATTGCAAGATTATGACAGTATATATAACACATCAAGGCTCATTGGAGTTTCTCGCTCATAGGCCTATTGGTATCAATTTATTTGGGTAATGAACAAAAATAATCTTTTTAAGACCACTGGAACACTTTTTGCGATTACTTCTAAATAAAGGCCCAGTTGGGGAAATATTCGAGTAAATGATTCTTATCTTACAAAGAAAACGTAAACGCTTGCTGCTATTCCAAGGATATGATGGGAAACAGTGCAAATGACGGACAATGTCTTAGTTTTTCTCGAATGTATACAATACATGATACAAATGGGAAGCGTTTTCGTAACTGGTTTATGTGTAAAAGATTGTATGTGTAACAGACTGTTATGTGTAAAAGACGCGGGAAATTGCATCATTACATGAATTCGATAAATCATATGTTTGAAATTCAGAAAAGCTAAGCATTATCCAACAAAAATTGGTTGGTAAAATGCCAGAATCGTCATTCGAACATGACTGTATTCACACCTTCTATAAACTGTAAACAATGCTTCAGCTGGGTTATATTCGAGATCAAATCCCCGGCTCTGTACTAAGTGTTTCGTTCAGTGCACTCATTGGTCAGTTTAGGCCGTTCCGTTCTTTTCGCATTCTCCTCTCGTCTGCAAAATTCAAAATGGCAGGGAGAAATTGTCCGGAGCCAAAATTTTCTGTCGGAGCATTTGTAAACTGTAATCTCAATATGATTTCAATAATTATCAATGCAGTAGATATGCGTGAAACCAATAAAATAGGCCGAAATGTCAATAAAAAACTTAAGTCGGGGTCAGGAGGTAAGTAAACAAATTGGAACAGCCAAACGCTCAACCGAAAGTAGAAATGAAAAAAGTGAAAATGGACATCGAAATTGACGATTTTGCAATATTCTGGTGATTTTTCAGGTTCAAATCGTAATATAGACCTCAGAATACATTAGTAGCCATGCTCTTCGGTCTATGTTTCTTAAATATAATTCATCGCTTAACTTGTGCTCCCGCTTGTGCTGCGTAAATGGAACGAGTAAAATGCAGATGCTACGACAACGTGACATTGATTATAAAAGGCATAAACATGCAAAACGTCACCACCTGGCGTCGCCGGACGCCAACCGCCGTTACAAAAAGTTGGAGACAATGTGTCATCACTTTTAGTTGTGACATAATGATGTTACTTTTTTGACGGTACATATATTAATAGAGAGATTATTATTCATATCAATATTAACGCTTGATAGTCAAAAATCATTTAAAATGTCTTTTGTTTATAATAAAGTCTATCTCAAATTTTGCTATTTTTGGAATAAATTGTGAACTCGATTTGTGACTCTTAAAATATGGATAAATAAAATGATCAATGAAGTGGCACTAGATCAAAGTACTTTTCAGGCTTGACTCGATCGAAACAAATACAGATTGACTCCAAAAAGTATGGAATTACTCGATAATTAATGGTGAAAGGATATTGTTGGTCATCTGATAAACATTCTGGATTTTCATTGACCAATATCTTACAGTTTCACCAGGCGACTAATCTTATTTTAGCATCATCTCATATTTTCCATATTTGGAATTGTACTAAGCTCTGCGTTGGTGTTGATGAGCTTATTTAGTATATTTACAGCATGTCAGTTAAAATTTTTATGAATTTTTGATTGGAAAACAATAATTCCCGTTTGATCTGGGTGCAGTTTTTGGGACAGACGTTATATTCATAATCAAATAAATGGAGAATAGACATGTAGTCGTCAACGAGACAAGTATTAATATTCGACATATACACAAATTTCAATTTCTTATAATTTTTCCGATTGATTTTCTGTCATTATCAATGAAATAAGCTGCCCATCATCAGTTTGTAAAAATATGTATTCTCCTCAATAGAATGTAATATTTGGTATATTATCCTAGCCGAATGATCGATGAAAATATATCAATGAACTATGAGTAATCGGGAAAAGTATTTGGCGAAACATCTCGCTTTATTCAATGTTCTGCATTTCTCACAGCAGTACATAGCAGTTGCGTTACTTAAAATCGAAAAAAATCAATTCCGATCTGTTACATTTAATTTCAATTCAATTTACTGTATTTTATTTTTAGTATCCCGTTTCTCTGCCCTCGAAAATGGATCTTTGAACTAAGGCTAACTAATGTTAAAATTGTGGCAACTTTCTTTTTTAATTGGCTTCCATATCGGTATAATTCGCGGACCCCGCACGATCGAAGTTTCACGTAATACATTTTGTTTTAGCATTTTTCCTTTCTAAGCGTAGCTATCTTATTTGGCAACAAGATGATCACTGTAACGACATGGAAATGCATATGTTTGTATTATATTTCGATTCGCTCCAAGAAGCGAGGAACTGAACTATATCATTAAAGATTATGGTTTCTGGGGAACGAACTAATAGTTCGCCAATGCTCAAATTTTCTGACTGATATAATTCAAACACACGTTTGTGCTAAAAAGTAGAGCATGGAAAGAGAAATAACTTCCGAAATGTTGCACTCCAAGGCCTTTTTACCGGAATGAGAGCATTTTCGCCACTGCCTTGCCAAGTCCCTTCGCTACGACAGATAATTAGGGTCAACTTTAAATGAAAGAGCATCAGAATGGCAAATGGCTACACATCGGTCAATATCCACGATACTATAGCACTATTACAGGTGTCATCGTAATGATCGATTATTTCCCTTTGAACATTAGTCGTCAAAGCAAACCAATTTGGAACTCAACTCCCTTGGTAAATCAAACGTCATCTCTTCTTTTTTGAAGGTTTTCAAATAAACACCCATCGGGAGCGTGAAACTCCAGTGAGACCATGCCATCCATGTCTGTTCAACTATAAACAAGTTATTTTCCATGTTTTCAGTAAAATTCTGGCTTTTGAACCCATTCCTTCACAAAAATACCTACCTTGGAACTTGGAGGTTTGCAATAAATTCCCGCACTCTGAGGAAAATAAATAAAATCAGTTTTGCTTCAAAATGATCTTAATGGCTTCATTGATGTAAATTCCTGACATTTTATTAGCAGTATTCAAATATGTCACCTTTGAATAAGGTGATGACTCAAATCATGTTAACCAATCAGAATTGGAAACTGAAAAAGATTTTGACAAAAACTTTCGAGAATTTATACTACAAGTATAATGTATCCTTACATGTATTTAAGGAATTTATATTACCTATGTTTATGAATGAAATTGGAAGAAAGCAAGACCTGCATCATTATGTTGGAAAATAAAGCATTTATCTGTTCAAAACATAAGTATTCTAATCATTTTCCATTTTTTCAATTTGTTAAATTTGAAATATTTATATGATTTGAATATATCAATAAATTCTCTCACATGTGGTCATAACGAGCTGAGCAAAACTGCTAGAAGAGCTAGAATCACGGGCTGGTATCGAAATATTTGTCCGCTGTGACGGAGCATGCTATTTTTCATAAGAACACTAAGAATATTTCACGATTTATTTTTTAACTCATATGTTTCGTTATACCATAGAAAATTACTTACTCCATGCAATGGACATATCATTTGCGGGTAACTTCACTTCTGCTTGAAGTTCAATTACGCTGGGAAGAAAAGCTATTGAAAATGGCGCCGGAGTATCATACTTCAAAATGTACCATTTCTTGTTTAACTTTCTATTGGCACGATATAGTGACACGATGATATTTACACATGGTTTCAGCATAACTAAGAAGGTATAGATGAGATGTTGATGTATTTGGTCTTTTCAATTCTTTTATAAAAAATAATTTTTAATTTTTCTGTCTGCTGTGACGGAGCAGTTGCAAATGTGAACTGTGAAAATGCTCCGTCACAGCGGACAAAGAATGCTAACATTATTTTTATAAGAAAAATTAAAAAGACCCAATGCATTAATATCTCATTAATACATTCAGAGTTATGCTGAAAACATATGTTAATATTATCGTGTCACAATATCATACCATTAAAAAGTTAAAAAAGAAATGGTACATTTTAGAGTTTGATGCTCTGGCGCCGTTTTCAATAGCTTTTACTCCTAGCGTTATTGGACTTCAAACAGAAGTGACGGTTACCCGCAAATGATATATCCATTGCATGGAGTAAGTAATTTTATTTGATATAACGAAACATATGAGTTAAAAAATAAATCGTGAAGCATTCTCAGTGTTTTTATGAAAAATAGCATGCTCCGTCACAGCGGACAAATCTTTCGATACCAGCCTGTGAGAATCAGCTACAATGTTTAAAATAACTGACAGTGATATAAAACAGAAAAAAAATTCACAGCTGCACAAGTGAACTTGGAAAGTTGTCACAACTACATGGGTGAACATAGAACATCTTTACAACTGCATAGGTTAACGGGGAAAGTTTTTACAGATGCACAAGCGAACAGGGAAAGATTTTACAGCTGCACAAGCAAACAGGGAAAGTTTTCACAGCTGCACAAGTGAACCGAGATGAATATACAGGGTGACACAAAAAATGCCACCTACTAATTTTGGAATAACTTTCTCAATAATGAAGGAATCTCCGTCATTTATTTATGTGTAGATAGTGTGTTCAGTGGAAAGAAATTGTTGTACTTGCAGGGGCGTAGCCAGCTTTCAGTCAGGGGGGGGTGCGATCGCCAAAAATTTTTCAGTTTTCGGTCAGGGGGGGGTGCGATTTTGCCATAAGCAACACAAAAAAATTAAGATTTCTTTTGAATTTTACAAAAATTGATGCAACTTCCTTCAAAATTGGGCTAGAAGCTTCAAATAAAAAGCATTTTAAAGCTCTTTTCTACCTCTATCCAATGGTCATATTTTCAAAGGTTATGGGGGGGGGGTGCGATCGCACCCATCGCACCCCCCCCCTGGCTACGCCCATGACTTGTATAGCATCAACAACTTTGTGATTAAGAGATATCACGTTTTCTGTCAAAGTACACTCATCAAAACTACAATTTTCTGTAATTGGGATTTCTGTCTCAAATTTAATGAACTGATTCGCTTTATTGGGTAGATTAAAAAAAAAGACATATTTTTAATTTACATTTTTGAGTGATTTTGTGTGAAAGCATGCCTCCAGGAAAAGGTATTCCAAAATTAGTGAGTGGCATTTTTTGTGTCACCCTTTACTAAAGTAGTTTTTAGGGAAATGGTGGGGTTAAGTCAAATGGTTGATGATCCCCAAACAGTTCAACATATTGTTATTGTTGTCATCATAGGTAACTGTCAGTTTTTTTTACATCAGACTTCATGTATTGGAATATTATTTTGAAAATTAAGGATGGCTACCAGGGGCCTTATTCACAAAGCATGAAAGCATCGCCAATTTTTAGCAATTGCGATTGCAATGGGATAGTGTTTTGCGCAGTATTCACAAAAGCGCGCTAAAGCATCGCAAACATGTAGCAAACATATCGCAATACTGTGATACAATTTTGATCATCAATTTTTCCTAAATGAGTGAAGGATGCCTGCTTTCCTTGCTCCAATGACGCTTGTAGACGTTTTAGGTTACAGCAAAATTATGAGATAATAGAAATTTTCATATAGTTCTCATACAATATCACGGCAATAGAAAATAAACAATGAATTTCCACCAGTTGAATTATGACGGTTTATATTTTTGCAACATTTGTAACTCATCATTAGGAATATCTACCAAATTGACTGAAGAGCCTTCACACGTTTAATTGTCACTGACCTCTAGAAACTAGGACAAGCAACTATCATCATCTCGATTGACCTGGATTCGATGTCACAGGCGACTAATTGTGAAAGATAAATCACTATTTTTACTAGAAAAAGTGGTGACAAAATATTGTGATGCTTTGTGAATAGGGCCTCTGATCTGCAATAATTTTTCAGCATTAACTTTCAAACGTGATAAAGAAAATAATAAGTAAACTACCTTGATTCATTAGCGATTTAAGATTATATTTCCACACATAAAAAACATGGTACAAAATATGAGTTCTAATAGAACAATTCAGAAATGGAGCTTTTTCATTGGCTGCAGGCAGTCACATGGTCTTAATAACACTATTTCATTGGCTACATACAGTCACATACAGTGGCATCTGATTGGCTGCAGACATATTGTCTAATTATGCCATTTGATTGGCTGCATGCAGTCACATGTTGAAATACTGCCTTATGATTGGCTGCATGCACTCACATGATCTCATAGATGCTATTTAAGCACAGATCAAAATTCATGTTCCAAATTGTCGATACATCTCAATATCAACTTCATCTCTTAAGGGGTGGGCCAGCTCAAACATTTCCACTTAATTTAAAACATATGAGTTCCCTTATGTCCATTTAATTTTGATCTGTCCTGTATGAGTGAATACTGCCCCATGCAGGTCTTATGTATTTACATACATTGATCCTGTCCCCTTTGACGTGGAGCTGCCTTTACGATATCATCAACACGCAGAATCATCTCAGCCGCCTCTGCAGCGCTAATAACCACTTGGCGCTTCACCTGGTAGGACTCTGTGATGCCTAGCTGTTCCATGTCACCTACCTCTCCTTGGTTCATATCTGAAAGTATAGTTATGAAAAAATATTAACAAATCAAAAGACGGATGGATGGAGGACAACTCACAACAGAACACAGACCACATATTAGAAAAAGACTCACAACTCAACAGAACACAGACGACATTATAGAAAATTTGCAACTCATACAAGAACAGACCACATAGTAGCAAGATTCAAAACAGAACACAGACCACATAGTAAAAGGACTCGCAACTCAACAGAACACAGACCACATAGTAGAAAGACTCGCAACTCAACAGAACACAGACCACATAGTAGAAAGACTTGCAACTCAACAGAACACAGACCACAGAGTAGAAAGACTCGCAACTCAACAGAACACAGACCACATAGTAGAAAGACTCGCAACTCAACAGAACTCAGACCACATAGTAGAAAGACTCTTAACTCATACAGAACACAGACCACAGAGTAGAAAGACTCGGAACTCAACAGAACACAGACCACAGAGTAGAAAGACTCGTAACTCATACAGAACACAGACCACATAGTAAAAAAGACTTGCAACTCAACAGAACACAGAGTAAAAAGACTTGCAACTCAACAGAACACAGACCACATACTAGAAAGACTCGTAGCTCATACATAACCGGACCACAGAGTAGAAAGACTCGCAACTCAACAGAACACAGACCACAGAGTAGAAAGACTCGCAACTCAACAGAACACAGACCACATAGTAGAAAGACTCGCAACTCAACAGAACTCAGACCACATAGTAGAAAGACTCTTAACTCATACAGAACACAGACCACAGAGTAGAAAGACTCGGAACTCAACAGAACACAGACCACAGAGTAGAAAGACTCGTAACTCATACAGAACACAGACCACATAGTAAAAAAGACTTGCAACTCAACAGAACACAGAGTAAAAAGACTTGCAACTCAACAGAACACAGACCACATACTAGAAAGACTCGCAACTCACAACAGAAAATTGACAACATATTTAAAGACTTGCAACTCAACAGAACACAGACAACATACTAGAAAGACTCGTAGCTCATACATAACCGGACCACAGAGTAGAAAGACTAACAAATCAACAGAACAGAGACCACATACTAGAAAGACTCGCAAATCAACAGAACAGAGACCACAAAGTAGAAAGACTCGCAACTCATAACATAACACAGACCACATAGTAAAAGGACTCGCAACTCAACAGAACACAGACCACATAGTAGAAAGACTCGCAACTCAACAGAACACAGACCACACAGTAAAAGGACTCGCAACTCAACAGAACACAGACCACATAGTAGAAAGACTCGCAACTCAACAGAACACAGACCACAGAGTAAAAAGACTTGCAACTCAACAGAACACAGACCACATACTAGAAAGACTTGCAACTCAACAGAAAACAGACCACATAGTAAAAAGACTTGCAACTCAACAGAACACAGACCACATAGTAGAAAGACTCGTAACACATAACAGAACACAGATCACATAGTAGAATGACCCGTAACTCATAAAATTACACAGAGACCCAATAATAGATTTAGCTTTGTAGATTAATATACAGATATCTCAATTCATCAACTGTACTCTACTGGGACTGAACTATTTCTAAATGATAATAAGTGGTCACTGCTTTGTAACTTTAAGGCAGGATCAGATCTATAGGGGGCGACAAAATTACAAGCAACTTGTCTTATTGACCGACCAATCTATTTCTTACAATATCAAATACAATATCTCCAAAATGATTCACAATATGTAATAAATTAGTGAAGTTATTAATGATTCAAAGTGCAAAAGTGGGTGAAAAATGTTTAAATTCTCCCAAATAATAAGAATGGTAACCATTCTTATAGAAAAATAATATATTATTGTAAAAATCTTTAGTTTTCCTGGAATAAAGTATGCACTTTTGTGATTTTTAGAAAATAGACATGACAAGGAATGAGATGAGCCAAATATTCTAAAATTGGAATAATTTTTTGTTTAGCCTGCTCGCTATCTCTGATTCTCTCTAGTTAACTAAGGCTCAACATTTTGATAATTGGTCTTTCTTCTAAGTCCCAAATAGAGACAAGAAGTTGACAACCCCTATGAAAAGGCATCAACTTGACATTTTCAGTTATATTCTAGACAAGAAAAAAGATGCATTTATAAGCCTTTTATATGAAATGATGGTGCATCCACTGATAAATCAAATGATTTTCTGTATATGTGTTTAGTAATCATTATTGATGTACAGCATGGCTTGTATGTTTTACAAGGGTTTAATGTCTTTTTATTTGATTTTCTGCTGAGTGAATATTTGCTGATGCACCATCTTGAAATTGTGGAATACTTTAATCACTTAACTGCATTGATTTTTTGTTAAAAGTAAAATGCTTCGGAAATTGCTATAGATTATGTTATGAATGTGATACACCTGATAATGTACTCAACACAATATTACAATGAGAGCTTAGCTCCCTAATTTCAGTACAATAATAATTTAATACAATAGAAATTGATACTTTGACAAATCTAACAGCATGAAGGACAAAAATACAAAAAAATACAAAAATACTAATCTTTATTTTAAATTCATTTTTAACAAAAGTCGCTTTCTATATTTGTTTACACATGAACATTTGAGGGAAGCAATTACATATTGAAAATTCAAAGTAGAAAAACACAAAAGACTGACAAGAATCAAAGGGCATTGTGGGAATCAGCTCACCAAAAGTGATCAATTAAGAGTCTGGATGCTTGCAAATGGGGCTGGGATTTGGGGGGGGGGGGTGATTGTGGTGTGCCAAACCACACCACAAGAGGACGACAAACCCTTTTGAGACTCATCTTTATATAATACACCCTTGGTATACGCAGCTAACGAAAATTGACCGGTACGGGTCAAAAGCTCTCTCGAGAACAACTGTCTCATTTTCACGAAAACTTTTATTTAGTACTTCTAACATATAAGATCTATTTTTCCCCATCAAGGTATGATGTAAATGACATGCTATTTACATCTTGTGAGTTTCAACGACGCGCGTTTGATTTAATAAAAAATGCCAAACTTTGTGACAAAGAATTTCATCCTGCTTGCAGAAAGAAGACGGACCGGTTCGGGGCAATCTGCTTGCAGCGAGAAGACGGACCGGTTCGGGGCAATAGCTGATGAAATTCTTTGTCACAAAGATTGGTATTTTTTATAAAATCAAATGCGCGTCATTGAAACTCACAAGATGTAAATAGCATGTCATTTACATCATACCTTGATGGGGAAAAATAGATCTTATATGTTAGAAGTACTAAATAAAAGTTATCATGAAAATGAGACAGTCGTTCTCGAGAGAAAAGAGCATAAATGCGCATTTAGAGAGTTTTGGTCTGTTTAAACATCTGTAAAAAATTGGGGTACTTAAAAGCATCGGGAGGCATCATATATTTCAAATTAGACACGAGGAAGTCAATATTGAGCAAGTTATGGCTGTTTTAAATTCAAATAAAACCGTTAACCCGTACCGGTCCAGCTTTTGACCCGTACCGGTCAATTTTCGTTAGCTGCGTATACCAAGGGTGTAATATAAGGAGATAAGTTTATCTCTGAATTCTAGGATATTTCCCCTTTTTCCATACCACTTTCTTTAATCAGACTGATGTATTCAGAAAATACAATTCCATTTCTTATTTGCTTTAGCCCACTTTGCAAAACTTCTGTGCGGAAAATACAATTTCATATCTTATTTGCTTATAACCCACTTTGCGAAACTTATGTTCTTTATTATTAAATTTGTGTTTCTTCGTATATTCACTGAATGATCATTGCTCATGCAAAGCAGTCATCACATCAATATTCCAGATATAATCCATTTTACTGTTAATTGGCCATAAGATGTCAAAGAGGCTGAGAAATGGCACTGCAAAAGGAGTGCTCTTGATCCCAGAAAGCAACAGTCAATAGAATTTACTCCCATAATGCAACATTATTAGTTGGGTGCAAATCTATCTTCGATATTAAGTAGGTGCAAGTCTATTTTTCATAACTCTCGAGAATTGAGGAGCCCACTGTAATACATGTGGTCAGCATAACTAGATTTAGATAAGGTGAGAAACAAATGTGTTTGATTGCAGATAAAACAATTGTGACATTCATGAATGGAATTGTGACATGTATTGATTAAATTGCGACACACTCAAATTAGTTTGATGATAGAGATGGAATCTATGATTTTATTTTACGCCAGAAACGGCAATAAATCTCTGATTACTTGATTTCCTTACGTCTAAATTTCTCTGCTATCTTAATCTAATGAATGCTATTCACTTCGAAAGCTAACTTTCTCAAGTTGTAGGAAGCAGAAGGATAAAAATGAGCTAAAAATAAACATACATACACCTAGGGCATCATTATTCAATATACTTTCTCTACAAAGGGAAGGGTTTCTTGTATTTCTAAATCAGAGTAAAATCCCCTCCCTCAATCAATGCTTCCCTCTCCCATTTCCTCCCCAATCATTACTTCCCTTTCCCATATACTCTCCAAATCAATGCTTCTCCAATCCACATACACCCCAATCAATGCTCACCTCTCTCATATGCTCCCGCAATCAGTGCTCCCCACTTCCATATACTCCCCTTTCCTATATTCTCCCCCAATCATTGCTCCCTCATCCATATACTCCCCAAATCAATGTTCCCCTTTCCAATATACTCCCCAAACCAATGCGCCCCTTTCCCATAAACTCCTCCAATCAATGCTCCCTGCTTCCATATACTCCCCCAATCAATGCTCCCCTTTACCATATACTCCCCATATTAATGCTCCCCTTTACCATATACTCCCCATATCAATGCTCCCCTCACCCATATACTACCTAAATCAATGTTCCCCTCTCCCATATACTCCCCTAATCAGTGCTCCCCTCACCCATATACTACCCAAATCAATACTCCCCTCACCCATATACTCCCCTAATCAATACTCTCCTTTCCATAAACTCCCCAATCAATGCTCCCTGCTTCCATATACTCTCCCAATCAATGCTCCCCTTTACCATATACTCCCCATATTAATGCTCCCCTTTACCATATACTCCCCATATCAATGCTCCCCTCACCCATATACTCCCCAAATCAATGTTCCCCTCTCCCATATACTCCCCTAATCAATGCTCTCCTTTCCATATACTCTCCCAATCAATGCTCCCCTTTACCATATACTCCCCATATTAATGCTCCCCTTTACCATATACTCCCCATATCAATGCTCCCCTCACCTAATGCTCCCCTTACCTAAATCAATGTTCCCCTCTCCCATATACTCCCCTAATCAGTGCTCCCCTCACCCATATACTACCCAAATCAATGTTCCCCTCTCCCATATACTCCCCAAATCAATGCTCTCCTTTCCATATACTCCCCAATCAATGCTCCCTGCTTCCATATACTCCCCCCCATCAATGCTCCCCTTTCCCATATACCCCTCCTTTCAATGCTCCCCGCTTCCATATACTCCACAATCAATGCTCCCCGCTTCCATATACTCCCCAATCAATGCTCCCCTTTTCCATATACTCCTCCTTTCAATGCTCCCCACTTCCATATAATCCCCAATCAATGTTCCCTTTTCCATATACTCCCCAATCAATGCTCCCCTTTCCCATATACTCTCCCAATCAATGCTCCCCACTTCCATACACTCCCCAATCAATGCTCCCCTTTCCCATATACTCCCCCAATCAATGCTCCCCACTTCCATATAATCCCCAATCAATGCTTTCCTTTTCCATATACTCCTCCAATCAATGCTCCCCTTTCCTGGCCGGGGCCATATTCTCCCCCAATCATTGCTCCTCTCACCCATATATTTCATTCAGTGAAAATCCCTTTTGCGATATTGTTCATTTAAGACATATCAGAATGATATATCAATCCAGAGATAAGATACATTGAAACATTCTTGGCATTTGCATTAAACAAAGTATCAAACTGTAAAGGATTTATCAGATCATACTCCATCAGGTTAAATATATAAACTCACATAAATCTTACTTTTAATACAAGCATGTAATTTTAATTGCTTATTTGAGTAAGCTGTAGATTAAAGCGTCACAGCTAGGTGCTTATTTAAACTAAATGAGTCAGTCAAATTTCCTAAGGCTGGCAGTTTAACAACAGGTAACTGAAAGTGAGAACTTCCAGGGATTTGTAATTCTGGAAATAGCATCAAAAGTAACAAGAGTTCTTCATAATGTTTGTAAATCAAAAAAAGAAAAAAAATAGTTTCAAGGAACTTTGCAACTACAGTATTCAAATTGTTCAATATTATCCAATTGCTTTTGCTGTTGTGTCTTCAATTTACCTGTTGTCAAAAATCTAATTATAAAGAGACAGCTAGACCAACATTTCTAAAGATAACAGGAATAAAGAATCCAGACATAATAAGCAATTGCTACTTGCCATATGTTTTGCCGTTTTGCCATATGTTTACTTATTGTTTGGGTTATCATACTCATCAGATTAAAGCAGCACCCAGCTACATGCCTACTCTGATGAAGCATTTTTAATATTAGGAATCAATGTAAAAAACTAGTAGTAAATTTAGTATGTCTCATCAGAAGGTCACTGCAACCTGAATCAAAAAGTCTTCACATTATGAGGTTTCTTAATATAAGCAAATCACTAGAGAGAATAAGTTGACTCAAAGAGTCTGCAATTGATTGCCGAGGCCATGTTTTCTTGCTTTTCTTTTTTATTATAAGCGAGGTGGAGATGTATGGCAGTTTTATTAGAATTTTTGACTGCAGACTTTCCTAGAACAACATAAATTTTGGTAATAATAACAATCGGAGAAAATGTGTCAATGCCTGATGGTCTTTCTTTTTTGTGATTTATCTATTGTACATGAATGGGTGACACAGATTGTGTATATTCCAGTATAATACATGAGATTCATGCAACAACACGTTGTCAATTTATAGCTTTAATACAACATGATTGTGTATGCTGTATCACTAGCATTTTCAATAAATAAATAATTCAAAATAGACTTGTTTCACATGTAATACAAGTAGAATGAGCCTTCTATCACCCAAGCAATGAACTAATACAAACCACAAATAGAGTTGGAACAAATAATATCATTTTTTATATGATCAAATCTATTTTTCAAAAGGAATAAACATGAGTGCAGGTTATGATAAAACAATTACTGAAAAGCTCTGTTTACTTAGGTAACTTTAAAATTGCATTCATTACTTTTACTGACTAAATCAGAAATAGCTTCCCCTTCCACATAGTCTAAAGAGACATCTATTTTCATTACTATGTTGCAATTTATCTCTTGCACCATGCAAATAGCTAACCCAATTTATTTGGGAATCGTGATAATACATGTACGTGTATATTTCTTAATTCATCTCTTTATTTTATTGCATACATATCCTTATCCTACACTTAGTGTACTAAATGTATAATAACATGAAAAAATAAATTTGATATTTATTGGCAAAATGAATATCTGGAGGCTATCGTAATGATATACATGTACTCCGGGCGGAGGATATCGTGACGATATACTCCAGAAAACCCAATATGCGGAGGATATTGTGACGATATACTCCGATTGTTGATTTCCCGCCAAATGGACTCTATTTGGCATGAAATTCATTTTACAATGATATTATACATTCAGTACACTCCTTGTAAATGTAGGATAATCCTATGATTTTTTCAGAATAATCATTTTAATCTACTCGGTGATATTGATATATGCACTCATTCGCTTTGCTCTCTCGTGCAGATATCAATATCACCTCGTAGATAAAAATGATATTCCTCAAAATCATAGGATATCCTATAAATATAACATATACATGTATACAGTGCCTTAAACTGACTTTCAAATACTTCAAATTTAAATATTATTAAAATGATTATTGACTATTTTTTTTATTAATCTTATGCAGTGATTCGACTGTTTTCTAAAATTCATAACATAGCTTAACAATTACTTGTAGGATTCAACATGCCCCTGTGGCCTAATGGATAAAGGCGCTGGACTTCTGAATCAGATTTTGATAGTTAATCCAGCTGTCGGTGGTACAAGTTCAGCACTGTAGTATTATAAATGGGAATATAAAGATAACATAGACTTACCTAGTCCCATTGTGTGTTTGCCCTCTGTATGGCAAGCACGTAGTTGTGATACAAGTTCAGCACTGTAGTATTATAAATGGGAATATAAAGATAACATAGACTTACCTAGTCCCATTGTGTGTTTGCCCTCTGTATGGCAAGCACGTAGTTGTGATACAAGTTCAGCACTGTAGTATTATAAATGGGAATATAAAGATAACATAGTCTTACCTAGTCCCATTGTGTGTTTGCCCTCAGTATGGCAAGCACGTAGTTGTGATACAAGTTCAGCACTGTAGTATTATAAATGGGAATATAAAGATAACATAGACTTACCTAGTCCCATTGTGTGTTTGCCCTCTGTATGGCAAGCGCGTAGTTGTGATACAAGTTCAGCACCGTAGTATTATAAATAGGAATATAAAGATAACATAGACTTACCTAGTCCCATTGTGTGTTTGCCCTCTGTATGGCAAGCACGTAGTTGTGATACAAGTTCAGCACTGTAGTATTATAAATGGGAATATAAAGATAACATAGACTTACCTAGTCCCATTGTGTGTTTGCCCTCAGTATGGCAAGCACGTAGTTGTGATACAAGTTCAGCACTATAGTATTATAAATAGGAATATAAAGATAACATAGACTTACCTAGTCCCATTGTGTGTTTGCCCTCAGTATGGCAAGCACGTAGTTGTGATACAAGTTCAGCACTGTAGTATTATAAATAGGAATATAAAGATAACATAGACTTACCTAGTCCCATTGTGTGTTTGCCCTCTGTATGGCAAGCGCGTAGTTGTGATACAAGTTCAGCACTGTCATATTATTAATAGGAGTATAAAGAAAAGGTAACATAGACTTACCTAGTCCCATTGTGTGTTTGCCCTCTGTATGACAAGCACGTAGTTGTGATACATGTTCAGCACTGTCATATTATTAATAGGAGTATAAAGAAAAGGTAACATAGACTTACCTAGTCCCATTGTGTGTTTGCCCTCTGTATGGCAAGCACGTAGTTGTGATACAAGTTCAGCACTGTAGTATTATAAATAGGAATATAAAGATAACATAGACTTACCTAGTCCCATTGTGTGTTTGCCCTCTGTATGGCAAGCACGTAGTTGTGATACAAGTTCAGCACTGTAGTATTATAAATAGGAATATAAAGATAACATAGACTTACCTAGTCCCATTGTGTGTTTGCCCTCTGTATGGCAAGCACGTAGTTGTGATACAAGTTCAGCACTGTAGTATTATAATAATTATAAATAGGAATATAAAGATAACATAGACTTACCTAGTCCCATTGTGTGTTTGCCCTCTGTATGGCAAGCACGTAGTTGTGATACAAGTTCAGCACTGTAGTATTATAAATAGGAATATAAAGATAACATAGACTTACCTAGTCCCATTGTGTGTTTGCCCTCAGTATGGCAAGCACGTAGTTGTGATACAAGTTCAGCACTGTAGTATTATAAATGGGAATATAAAGATAACATAGACTTACCTAGTCCCATTGTGTGTTTGCCCTCTGTATGGCAAGCGCGTAGTTGTGATACAAGTTCAGCACTGTAGTATTATAAATGGGAATATAAAGATAACATAGACTTACCTAGTCCCATTGTGTGTTTGCCCTCTGTATGGCAAGCACGTAGTTGTGATACAAGTTCAGCACTGTAGTATTATAAATAGGAATATAAAGATAACATAGACTTACCTAGTCCCATTGTGTGTTTGCCCTCTGTATGGCAAGCACGTAGTTGTGATACAAGTTCAGCACTGTAGTATTATAAATAGGAATATAAAGATAACATAGACTTACCTAGTCCCATTGTGTGTTTGCCCTCTGTATGGCAAGCACGTAGTTGTGATACAAGTTCAGCACTGTAGTATTATAAATGGGAATATAAAGATAACATAGACTTACCTAGTCCCATTGTGTGTTTGCCCTCTGTATGGCAAGCACGTAGTTGTGATACAAGTTCAGCACTGTAGTATTATAAATGGGAATATAAAGATAACATAGACTTACCTAGTCCCATTGTGTGTTTGCCCTCTGTATGGCAAGCACGTAGTTGTGATACAAGTTCAGCACTGTAGTATTATAAATAGGAATATAAAGATAACATAGACTTACCTAGTCCCATTGTGTGTTTGCCCTCTGTATGGCAAGCACGTAGTTGTGATACAAGTTCAGCACTGTAGTATTATAAATAGGAATATAAAGATAACATAGACTTACCTAGTCCCATTGTGTGTTTGCCCTCTGTATGGCAAGCACGTAGTTGTGATACAAGTTCAGCACTGTAGTATTATAAATAGGAATATAAAGATAACATAGACTTACCTAGTCCCATTGTGTGTTTGCCCTCAGTATGGCAAGCACGTAGTTGTGATACAAGTTCAGCACTGTAGTATTATAAATGGGAATATAAAGATAACATAGACTTACCTAGTCCCATTGTGTGTTTGCCCTCTGTATGGCAAGCACGTAGTTGTGATACAAGTTCAGCACTGTAGTATTATAAATGGGAATATAAAGATAACATAGTCTTACCTAGTCCCATTGTGTGTTTGCCCTCAGTATGGCAAGCACGTAGTTGTGATACAAGTTCAGCACTATAGTATTATAAATAGGAATATAAAGATAACATAGACTTACCTAGTCCCATTGTGTGTTTGCCCTCTGTATGGCAAGCGCGTAGTTGTGATACAAGTTCAGCACTGTAGTATTATAAATAGGAATATAAAGATAACATAGACTTACCTAGTCCCATTGTGTGTTTGCCCTCTGTATGGCAAGCACGTAGTTGTGATACAAGTTCAGCACCGTAGTATTATAAATGGGAATATAAAGATAACATAGACTTACCTAGTCCCATTGTATGTTTGCCCTCAGTATGGCAAGCACGTAGTTGTGATACAAGTTCAGCACTGTAGTATTATAAATGGGAATATAAAGATAACATAGACTTACCTAGTCCCATTGTGTGTTTGCCCTCTGTATGGCAAGCACATAGTTGTGATACAAGTCCAGCACTGTAGTATTATAAATAGGAATATAAAGATAACATAGACTTACCTAGTCCCATTGTGTGTTTGCCCTCTGTATGGCAAGCACGTAGTTGTGATACAAGTTCAGCACTGTAGTATTATAAATAGGAATATAAAGATAACATAGACTTACCTAGTCCCATTGTGTGTTTGCCCTCTGTATGGCAAGCACGTAGTTGTGATACAAGTCCAGCACTGTAGTATTATAAATGGGAATATAAAGATAACATAGTCTTACCTAGTCCCATTGTGTGTTTGCCCTCTGTATGGCAAGCACGTAGTTGTGATACAAGTTCAGCACTGTAGTATTATAAATGGGAATATAAAGATAACATAGACTTACCTAGTCCCATTGTGTGTTTGCCCTCAGTATGGCAAGCACGTAGTTGTGATACAAGTTCAGCACTGTAGTATTATAAATGGGAATATAAAGATAACATAGTCTTACCTAGTCCCATTGTGTGTTTGCCCTCTGTATGGCAAGCACGTAGTTGTGATACAAGTTCAGCACTGTAGTATTATAAATGGGAATATAAAGATAACATAGACTTACCTAGTCACATTGTGTGTTTGCCCTCAGTATGGCAAGCACGTAGTTGTGATACAAGTTCAGCACTGTAGTATTATAAATGGGAATATAAAGATAACATAGACTTACCTAGTCCCATTGTGTGTTTGCCCTCTGTATGGCAAGCACGTAGTTGTGATACAAGTTCAGCACTGTAGTATTATAAATGGGAATATAAAGATAACATAGACTTACCTAGTCCCATTGTGTGTTTGCCCTCTGTATGGCAAGCACGTAGTTGTGATACAAGTTCAGCACTGTAGTATTAAAAATGGGAATATAAAGATAACATAGACTTACCTAGTCCCATTGTGTGTTTGCCCTCTGTATGGCAAGCACATAGTTGTGATACAAGTCCAGCACTGTAGTATTATAAATAGGAATATAAAGATAACATAGACTTACCTAGTCCCATTGTGTGTTTGCCCTCTGTATGGCAAGCACGTAGTTGTGATACAAGTTCAGCACTGTAGTATTATAATAATTATAAATAGGAATATAAAGATAACATAGACTTACCTAGTCCCATTGTGTGTTTGCCCTCTGTATGGCAAGCACGTAGTTGTGATACAAGTTCAGCACTGTAGTATTATAAATAGGAATATAAAGATAACATAGACTTACCTAGTCCCATTGTGTGTTTGCCCTCTGTATGGCAAGCACGTAGTTGTGATACAAGTTCAGCACTGTAGTATTATAAATAGGAATATAAAGATAACATAGACTTACCTAGTCCCATTGTGTGTTTGCCCTCTGTATGGCAAGCACGTAGTTGTGATACAAGTTCAGCACTGTAGTATTATAAATGGGAATATAAAGATAACATAGTCTTACCTAGTCCCATTGTGTGTTTGCCCTCTGTATGGCAAGCACGTAGTTGTGATACAAGTTCAGCACTGTAGTATTATAAATGGGAATATAAAGATAACATAGACTTACCTAGTCCCATTGTGTGTTTGCCCTCTGTATGGCAAGCGCGTAGTTGTGATACAAGTTCAGCACTGTAGTATTATAAATAGGAATATAAAGATAACATAGACTTACCTAGTCCCATTGTGTGTTTGCCCTCTGTATGGCAAGCACGTAGTTGTGATACAAGTTCAGCACTGTAGTATTATAAATGGGAATATAAAGATAACATAGTCTTACCTAGTCCCATTGTGTGTTTGCCCTCTGTATGGCAAGCGCGTAGTTGTGATACAAGTTCAGCACTGTAGTATTATAAATAGGAATATAAAGATAACATAGACTTACCTAGTCCCATTGTGTGTTTGCCCTCTGTATGGCAAGCACGTAGTTGTGATACAAGTTCAGCACTGTAGTATTAAAAATGGGAATATAAAGATAACATAGACTTACCTAGTCCCATTGTGTGTTTGCCCTCTGTATGGCAAGCACGTAGTTGTGATACAAGTTCAGCACTGTCGTATTATAAATGGGAATATAAAGATAACATAGACTTACCTAGTCCCATTGTGTGTTTGCCCTCAGTATGGCAAGCACGTAGTTGTGATACAAGTTCAGCACTGTCATAACCTGCATTGTCTGCGATTATGGTAGGTAACTGCAAGTAAAAATAGTACCTTATAGTTCAAAACTCTGGTTTCTAAAAAAGGCACAAGTAGAAGATCTAGGACCATTGATTTATATACTACTGCAGACTAAGATGACATGTATATGAGCTAAAGTTCAGAAGAATAACAGTTTTATTTTCATTTTGTCTAAAAATGCCCAACCCCTTTATGAAATAAAATTCATTTTTTCACAATGTTTACATCTGGTTTGCACCCTCCAAGAATCAGGTCAACTGGACCAATGTAGTAATTGTTTCATGTATACATTTTCAATGATTTTCAGCTTTACTCAGTAGTTACACATACTTGTCTAAGTGCTCTGGCATATGCGTCCATGGCAACTGCTTCTTTGCCAGATGTTTTACTTGAAAGCTTAGAGACGGCATCAGCCATCAACATCTCACTGCTACCTAACAACAATAAAATAAAGGGTTTAGTTGCCTAGCAACAAAAGTATATGAGTTTTATCAGTCTAGCAACAGTAACTGATTCGCACAGCAACAGTAGAATATGGAACTAATTTACTTATTTTGGCTGATAGGGGATCAAAAATGGGATCTGATACAGGATTGTTTCATGGGATCCAATATGGGATCTGATACGGGATTGTTTGAATATCAACTCTATTTCCTATTTATTTCCCAGAGAAAACATGTTATTATGGAATAAATGAGATTAATTCAACTTGCAACAGTAATACACATGATTTTTATAGATTACCATAAAAAGAAATTGCCTTTGAATAGTTCAGAAGGAAAATATTAAAAACACTAAGGTTGCATTTTTGAACTGCCCACAGCACAGGCAAATTGTGCAGCACTTAATGAGCTTTCCCCGCAGTATCACAAAAAAGATCAATAAGCCCCACGGAGCTCATCCAAGCTCACATATACAATCACATATACAATGCCTAATAACACTGGGTTAATCTTATCAAGCACACCTGCCCTGCCTAGTCACTAGTGCACCACATGGGTTCCATTAAAATAAAACATGAATTATGTGAATTAATTGTGCTTTGATGCGACATTTTTGTTGAAAACATGTGACCATGCAATTTGCGAGGCCCATTGATTCCTCTCGTGACACCCGCGAGGAAAATTCATTAAACACCACGCAATTCACCCGATCCACAGGCAGTTCAAAATCACAGCCTAAGATAAACAATGTAGTGCATTTAATATGTAATTATTTTCAAAGATCTTACCTCCACCAAACACAGTTCTAGTTTCTTTGACAGTCTGTTGTAATACACAAAGAGCATCATGCATGGACCTTTCTGCTTCATCTAAGATTTGTTGTGTGGCCCCACGTAATATAATAGTACAAGCCTCTCCTAACTTAACACCTACAATGTAATATATTATTTCAATATTAGATGCGTCTAGGATTTGTTGTGTGGCCCCACGTAATATAATAGTACAAACCTCTCCTAACTTAACACCTACAATGTAATATATTATTTCAAGATTAGATGCATCTAGGATTTGTTGTGTGGCCCCACATAATAAAATAGTACAAGCCTCTCCTAACTTAACACCTACAATGTAATATATTATTTCAAGATTAGATGCATCTAGGATTTGTTGTGTGGCCCCACGTAATATAATAGTACAAGCCTCTCCTAACTTAACACCTACAATGTAATATATTATTCCAAGATTAGATGCGTCTAGGATTTGTTGCATCACCCATGTTATATTTCACCCAAGGGTGTAGAAGAAATACAGACAAACTGAGAATAAGCTTTTTTTGGAAAAAATGTCACAAATTTTCAATACTTTTTGGCTTTCATCATTCCATGTCAGGTCTATTTTCTAAAAGTTAATAAAAAAAACTGACTTTATATCACTAGTTTTTTACTTCAAATAGAGCTCCATTTCTTACACTCATGCCTTTGTTTGCCCAATTTATAACTTACCAGAAAATTTTAGAAGTTTATCTTCGCCAATCATTATTTCTTCTATAAGATCACAGGTTCCTATTTTAGTGGCCTCAGGACAGTCAAATGTGGATACTATTTCCCCACCTAAAAATCACGTATTAAAAATGCTTTAAATGTGAAAATTTTAGAATCTGTTCATAGTATCAATATTATTTCATGTTTTTCTGGGACACTTTGTATTTTTGTTATTTCATTTTAATAACTAAATAGATCTATTGCTTCATAGCACATACTCACCAGTAACAAGTGCTAATCTTTCTACACCCTCAAAGTCTGCATGCTCAATGGCCATAACACCTGCATCACTAAACAGCTGTTCGGGATAATTGTAGATGAGTTGTCTAAAACAGAACAAAGGATTTTCAGCAATTTTGTTTCAATAAAACGTCATTCAATATCGAAAATATAAAAATTAACAGAAATCACCAGTTTTGGCTGCTGTTTCCATTTTGGCTATTTTTCATCTTGCTTGTTTTCATAATGATCTGAATGTTTTCATTTTGGCAGTTACTTAAGTTCATGCAGTGCCATCTAACGAGAAACTAACAAGAAAGAAAAGCTAAACACAACAAATGTATTTGTGTTTTTTGTTTTTTTACTACGTGTACTACTAAGAAATTAAATTGCAAAATGTATATAAGAACTGAGGTAAGACTATTATTCAAACATTCAAGAAATATGTCAATTAAAATTCTAAAATGTCAAGCCTGAAGGCAAAATTCTGTCCACACTCTAACAGAATTCTAGGAGCGATTGGTGTGATATTTAAAGTTCACTCACCTATTTATAAACACATTCATATCATGTTTGCATATTTTTGCTACTTTTTCTTTCATCTTTTCTTTTTCTGCAAGCTCTAATTCTGCTACCTTGGAGACAGCGTCCACCTTAACTCTTGAACCAAACACCTAAAACAGATTATAAAATCATATTATATCAAGTGTATTCATTAAATGACCAATGTATGTTACTTTGACGACTTTTGTCAATGTAACAAAAGTGATAGTGTAAATGCCAAATTCCAAAACGAGAGGATTTCTAAAGTTTGACTATATTGTCTAACTTTGTGCCAAATTATAATCTACACCTCAACTTAAAAGAAGGTTTAAATCGAGAAAACAATAACCTCATATCCAGGAAGTTCATCCATTTTGTTACATTGACATTCCATCAGTGTAATAACTAGTTGTGGAACAGAGATTGTGACTGTACTCATTCACTTTGCTTAACTTAGGAATGTATCTTTCCTTGAGACTATTATCCCATCTTAAAACTAATATTTCCCACCTTTTGACTTAATAATATCCCACTTAAAGGAACAAAATGCGTAAATGAGGTCTCAATTTTGATCTTCAAAGTATTTCCAATGGATTATTAAGTACCCGATCTTTCATTTGACACCAAAAACAGCTCAAACAGATCATATCAGAGTTGACACTAGGTCATGAAAAAATATTTTCCATCTATCAATTTATATATTTCAAGTTTTTAGCAATGCCATAAAAGATGGCATTGTTGTTTGCATTAATTATCCATTCATTTTTGATAGGATTTTCAACCATACGTCATCTTTCAATCTGTCAACTTTCGAGTTATTTAAAGCATACACTAAAGTGAAAGGTGGTAATTCACTTCTTTTGATCTCTGAACTTCGAATGCTGTTTTCTATGCAAGTGATTTTTTTTCACTTCAGTATTGACACAAATTAAAGTTTTTATCATATTTGATTGAGTAACAGTTCTCAAAAACCATTTTGTCCCTTTTCCTTCAAAAATAGGCGCATTGCCTGTTTAATACAATATCTCATCTTTTGACTTAAAAAGTCCACAGATACTAGTTTTCTGCATGAAAAAAAAAGTCCAAATTCTGCAATCTTTTAAAACGATGAAAATTGACGTAGAAAACGGAGAACTGCACGTCATTAGCGAACTCGCTTTAGCGAATTTAAACGTGATAGAATGTTGAATTTCACGGTGAAATCGTACTTGTACTCAATAATGATTGATTGTTGGACATAAACAGACACTCTTCAAATACCCCGCAAAGGTAGGAGATCGTAAAATATGTAATTTCTGGAAATTCTGGTAATTCCGCGGGATTTTCATGAAAATCAGGGATTCTGCAAAAAATTTAAGTTTTGTCAAATTCCGTCCACGCCGCGGAATTACGGAATACTAGTATCTATGGACTTTATCCCATCTACATGTATATAGTCTATGCCAGATATATCAGTGTCCACTGGTGTGTATGCAATGAGTATGCCATATATACCTTTATTTTATCAGTGTCCATTGGTGTGTATGCGATGAGTATGCCATATATACCTTTATTTTATCAGTGTCCATTGGTGTGTATGCAATGAGTATGCCATATATACCTTTATTTTATCAGTGTCCATTGGTGTGTATGCGATGAGTATGCCATATATACCTTTATTTTATCAGTGTCCACTGGTGTGTATGCAATGAGTATGCCATATATACCTTTATTTTATCAGTGTCCACTGGTGTGTATGCAATGAGTATGCCATGTTTTGAATCAAGTGTTGGGCTGGGAATGGGTATAGATATACATATTATAACGGTTACATACAGTTCAGAATAGGTTGAAGTATGTAGAAGAGTTTTTGGAAGAAATCGATTGAAATTTGTGACCAAATATATTGGTCACAGATTCAGATGTTCGAGGGAAGAGATTTATGTTTATTCCACATATTCATAATCATTGTTCACAATATTAGTGGTATTTTTGTATGTTATTGAGTGTTTGTATCAGATCTAATTCATCTTGAAATATGGTATTATCAAAAATAATATAAAGATTTTCAAAACTTGCGCCTATTTCTTATTAAACAGATAATCTATTTAGGATTTCATATTATCCGATTAAAGAATGATAATTCTAAGAAGTCACCTTCATAAAATTAAGCAATAAAAAATATTCTAAATAATATGAATATCAAATAATATTTTGATACTTATTCATACATGATATAATACACTTTGCATGCATGTGTTCAAATATAATCCAATTAAGTTCAAAATGGAAAAGAAATTAACAGATTAAAGTTCCCTTATTAATTTTCTCTGAATGCATAAGCTAAATTAATTGTTTGATTCATTTGTTGAAAAGTTACTGTTTTAATTATATTCATTTATATATATGTATTACAAAAAAAGTTGAGAACAAGCCCTTCAAACACTTCAAAGGTAATCCAAGTTAAAACAAAATGCTTTGCTTAATCCATTAAGAAAAAATGTCTTCTAAATTCAGAAAAAATATTGAGGCACATTATAACATTAAACATTTTGACACAGACTCAATTTGTTTTCTTATATGCACCCATAATACAGAAAATAAACGTGGGTACGAGTTGTCTTGGGTACCAGTTGACTTGGGTACGAGTTGTCTTGGGTACAAGTTGTCTTGGGTACGAGTTGTCTTGGGTACGAGTTGACTAGGAAGCTGCAATGAGTATGCCATATATACCTTTATTTTATCAGTGTCCATTGGTGTGTATGCAATGAGTATGCCATATATACCTTTATTTTATCAGTGTCCACTGGTGTGTATGCAATGAGTATGCCATATATACCTTTATTTTATCAGTGTCCACTGGTGTGTATGCAATGAGTATGCCATATATACCTTTATTTTATCAGTGTCCACTGGTGTGTATGCAATGAGTATGGCATATATACCTTTATTTTATCAGTGTCCATTGGTGTGTTGGCAATGAGTATGCCATATATACCTTTATTTTATCAGTGTCCACTGGTGTGTATGCAATGAGTATGCCATATATACCTTTATTTTATCAGTGTCCATTGGTGTGTTGGCAATGAGTATGCCATATATACCTTTATTTTATCAGTGTCCTTTGGTGTGTTGGCAATGAGTATGCCATATATACCTTTATTTTATCAGTGTCCACTGGTGTGTATGCAATGAGTATGCCATATATACCTTTATTTTATCAGTGTCCATTGGTGTGTTGGCAATGAGTATGCCATATATACCTTTATTTTATCAGTGTCCACTGGTGTGTATGCAATGAGTATGCCATATATACCTTTATCTTATCAGTGTCCACTGGTGTGTATGCAATGAGTATGCCATATATACCTTTATTTTATCAGTGTCCACTGGTGTGTATGCAATGAGTATGCCATATATACCTTTATTTTATCAGTGTCCACTGGTGTGTATGCAATGAGTATGCCATATATACCTTTATTTTATCAGTGTCCACTGGTGTGTATGCAATGAGTATGGCATATATACCTTTATTTTATCAGTGTCCACTGGTGTGTATGCAATGAGTATGCCATATATACCTTTATTTTATCAGTGCCTATTGGTGTGTATGCAATGAGTATGCCATATATACCTTTATTTTATCAGTGTCTATTGGTGTGTATGCAATGAGTATGCCATATATACCTTTATTTTATCAGTGTCCATTGGTGTGTATGCAATGAGTATGCCATATATACCTTTATCTTATCAGTGTCCATTGGTGTGTTGGCAATGAGTATTTTAGCATTCTCTACTCTCTTAGGCTGATTGACTCCTACACGTTTATCAAGTAGGAAACCCTCATCAAGGTATGAGTCTTTTAATCCTCCACCTAGCTTCTTAATTATCTGAATGGCATCTAGGTTACCACTACCCTGTAATCATTTAAAAATAGAATTATATCAATATCAGATTGTGATTGGTCAAATCATGTCACATGATCTGCAATATCAGATTGCGATTGGTCAAAACATGTCACATAATTTAGAATACTAGTTTATGATTGGTCAAATCATGTCATATGATCTACAATATCAGATTGTGATTGGTCAAATCATGTCACAGGATCAAGAATACAAATTTGTTATTGGTCAAATCATGTGAGGGGTGATGTGAAAAGTGGGTTCACACCAGTTGGATTTATAACATTTCAATTGGTCATTACATAAATGACCTACAAGACAGACAGGCTCTAGCATATTATCACTGCTTGCAGCTGGAAGTTATCTGGACAGCAACCTATTTAGGATGTGTGAATATATGACAAAGTATGCATTTTGAAAACAGGGAATATTATTGTTCACTGTGACACTGCCATGAAAAGATATGTGGCCATTATCTTGATATATTTCAAACTTATTTTAGCATATCACTTACTTCAAGCAAGAACTAACTTTTTTGCACACTGACTGTTTTAGCAAGTACTTACTTTGAGACGTAAAATGGCATCAACCGCAAGATTTGAGAAATAATCCTTCTGTTCTGTGAGAATCTTAGAGCTGAGAGTTGTTCTTGCAATATTCATGAGATCTTCTCTGAACTTTACTGGATCAGACCTAAAATATGTCACAACCACAACACTGGTTTGTAATTGGTCAAATTATGTAACATAATCTACAATATAAGTTTGTGGTTGGTCATCATACAGACTTTTATTTGGTGATCAGTCAAATCATTAATTAAAGAGGGGTCGATGTGAATTCTGCAAACATCCAATTCTGTAATTTTTTTATTTTCAATACTCTCAATTTTGAGAATATGCTTTATTTTCTTCATTTTGAGTTGGGTGCAACAATCCTTTCCAAAATCTTGAGTGGATGTTGCCACTGAGATTGCTTTCAAACTGGGAAATCAATTATGATCATGTCTAATGGCATTAAAATGATAAGAGATGAAAAGAATGTAATCAGCAAGGAATAAACAACACAAAACTTTCATGATCCAAGAGGTACTTACCCATGATCCCTTGCAAAACTTGTGAGTGCCTCTCTGGCTACATCTGTTGCTTTACGCCACCCAGCAATGATGGTCTGTGGGTGCATCTTCTGCTCAATCAGCTGCTCAGCCTCCTGGGAAATAAAGATGGGGCTGGTTAGGATATAGTGTCACAAGAAAAAGATTAATATAATAGTTGCACAATAGAATATATTGTGTTCAAAAGTCATCCTTTTTGATCAATCACAGGAGATGTCAATTTTATTCAGTTTTTAGTTTCACCGGCAAGTACTCACCTTTAGCAGTTCATAGGCAAGTACTCACCTCTAGCATTTCACAGGCAGGTACTCACCTTTAGCATTCCACAGGCAAGTACTCACTTTTAGCAATTCAAAGGCAAACACTCACTTTTAGCAATTCACAGGCAAGTATTGTGACTATCCTCTAGCATTTCACAGGCAAGTACTCACATTTAGCAATTCACAGGCAAGTACTCACATTTAGCAATTCGCAGGCAAGTACTAACATTTAGCAATTCACAGGCAAGTCTTTCTCATTTCACGGGCAAATACTCACCTCTAGCAATTCACAGGCAAGTACTCACATTTAGCAATTCACAGGCAAGTACTCACAATTAGCAATTCACAGGCAAGTTTATATTGTGACTTTATCAATTCACAGGCAAGAACTCGCATTTAGCAATTCACGGGCAAGAATTGTGACTTACCTTTAGCATTTCACAGGCAAGTACTGTAACTGAAGTTGTTCCATCTCCAACTTCATCATCTTGAACTTTTGAGATCTCTGAAATATAAATAATTTTTTTTATGTCAAATGATCTCTTATACTCTTAAATCTTGTCACATGATCATGAACATTACTTTGTGATTGGCCAAGTCATGTCTTCTAGGAATGTCCTAGCAGTTATGTCTCTTGAATATACAGTATCACTAATGTTGTGACTTACAAGTATGAATGATAAATATCAGGTGTTAAGATGCAATAATTCTAGAAACTCCTATCTGACTCACCTACTAGCACTTTAGCAGCTGGGTTGTCTACTCCAATAGACCGCAAGATGGTGGCGCCATCATTTGTCACCTGGATTCCTCCATTTACAGGGTTACTGCTCTGTAGGATCTTGTCCATACCCTTTGGTCCTAAAGTACTCTTAATGAGCTCTCCAATTGCAATTGCTCCAACAAAAGAGGACATGCGAGCAAACTCAGACTTTTCCTCTTCACCTCCTGCTTTCAGGATGGAAATGGGAGCTAACGACACCTGATAAATGAACAAAATCGGAAAATCTAAATTTTAACAAATTCTGCTAAAGATCAATATCGGTATGTTGTTGCCTTCACTGTTGTGTTTGGCTGAGTTCTACAATGTAACCTCGGACTAGAGATGACATGGAACATACTAGTAAGTAGATACATGGTTAAAACATCACATCATTACCTGGTTTTTACCATATGAATTTCTACCAAACATTATAAATTTTATCAAAATAACCACTAATTCAGCTTATTTACAACCCCTAGATTTCAATACACCAGTGTGTCAGATAAGGATTTTTTTCGGCTAGCCATTTTGGCCACTAGATTTCAGATACCACTGGCCAAACAGATTTGGCACTAGCCAGTACAAAATTACGCTAACATCGCAATTATTATTAATAAAATCATTTATTATATCTAAAAAGTAAAGAATCAGCAATTTGTCAAACTTGTGCATCCAACTATATCAAAGTATCATTTAATTGCCTAATAATAACACTTAAGTATGATATGATGATGATTAAAAATGTATCATGGGCTCCAGAAAATTATTGATATTTACAACCTCTCTTGTGCAAACTGAGCATGATATTCCTCATAAAAGTCAAGTTTTAGCCCCTACATATAGATCTTCACAGAAAAATTAATCAAGAACAAAAAATACACGTGGCTTAGTAACAGTAATCGCTGTCTTTAGCGCCAACCCCCTAATAACCATTCACCCGCTTCACAAAGTTCAAGAATTATCAAGGAATAACTTAACTATTAATACACAGCAAAAATAATTTCCGAAAAAGTCAGCCAGCGATAATAGAGTACTTCATCATTTTTTATACTAAAATGTGGAAAAAGTGGCGCATTTTGTAATTCAGTGCATCATCAATATGAATATCTATCATTTGATGCTTTCCACATAATACTAAACCATTATTTTGATGAATGAAGAAGGAAATGTCCATGTTTGAAAATATTTTTTCGGCAATAGCTTCTGCGCAGTTTTGATGTGCATCTGATCCCTTCGACCAATCAGAACTCTCGAATAAAGAAATCCAGAGCACGGCCAATCAGAATCCAAGATAGAAAACGTTTCGGGATCGATCAAGAAGGAATATCCGGATGTTCTCGATTTTCGATCTCGGTGAGTTCCTTGGCAGAAATATGCCATTATCTTCGGGTTTTCAAGTCTGATTTGCATCCAGATCGCCGATATGGCAAGTGCTCAAAACTGTTCGCCAGATGTATTTTCTGATGGCATTTGGCGAATAGCAACCGCTTATCCGACACACTGTACACAAGTGGTTGTGGGGGTGATTTGAAAAATCAACACCACATTTATTGGTGTAGAGTCTTGTCTATTGATAAATGAACAAAATCGGATTGTTTATAAGTTTGATAGATTGGGAGCTAATGGCACATGATAAATGATTTGTCTGATAGTGTAATTAAGAATCTTAAAGAAACTCTTTACCATAGGATAGCACAATCAGGACCCACCTGGACTTTTTTACATATTGAGTTTAACCACATATTCACCTATCTATTTTAAATTTACAAATGAAGAAGTCCCAAATCTCCCGCTTTCAAAAATCCTCCTGTTATCTGATTGGTTGTGAAATTTGTTTATCATGAAACTGATTGGCTGTCTGGTTAAAGGCGTGTGAGGGTGCTTGTGTGACTCGACACGGATTCCCCTACCGCGTAATCAATTGTGTTTAATTCTGAATGTCGGTTGTTTTTAATTCAATATATCGGCAATAATATCATAAGCTATTCTCAAGATTTACTCACTTCGACAGCCATGTTAGATTTTGAAACTTATGCCTCTCCAACGGAGAAACGGACAGCTGAATAATAGTGACCTTTGAAACTAAATTAAGTTGATCCGCGGCTTACTTTTGTTCTCTAACTATGTCATACATCATTATCATCCTTCAGTGCAATTATTGGAGCGCGGAAGTACTTCCTTTTCGATAAAGACTTGTAATTGTTAGTCGAGTGAATGTTTTTTCTGCCAAATTCCAATATGGCGTTTTCTGCCCAGACATTTTCGTAAATCTTTGGAGGTTGTCCGAACCTAACTCATTCTCAAAATTCATTTCGTTCGTTGCATATCTCGCTCCTAGCAAACCGCCATATTGGAAATGGGTCACAAAAACATTCACTCGATGAACAATTTAAAAGTCTTGATCGAGAAAGAAATTTTTAAGATTTTCGACATCTGAAAAGTCACTCTACTTTTTTGTGATTTTGAATCACAGAAAGCATTCTGAAGTTTCAAATTGGGGCCACGTTTAATTTTTGGCATCCGCCTAATGTATACCACTTACCTTTTGTTGATTCTTTCATAAACTCAGTTTGACCGGAGGTATCTTTGTTGCCGCTCGATTTTTAATAAAAAAAATGTCCCTTTTCTAATCACCCGGATATGCTGTTTACTTAGACTCGCCCAAAACGAGGGGTGTCAAACGCAAGATGATAGAGATGCAGACATGTTGCCACTCTCAGAGAATCTTAACCAAACCCTTCTGGCCCAGTTATCTACTCCTGACGTCCTAGATCTGGGCCAGACTCGATCCAATGCAAAAAATGGGGTATTTACTCCGGAAAACACACACTGGTTTTTCAATGTATAATACGTGCTGATAAATGAATAAACATCATAAAAATCACTTACGTGTTCGTTCCTTGTATCAAACTTTGTATTTATATTAGGTTTCCATCGCTGGATGACGGCTAATAAATAAGAACGAAACGTCTAAACGCAGCAAAAAGAAACATTCTTCTGCAATCTGTTCGTGATCTCGTAGAATATCGAGAAGTCTCGGCTGCTTATTTCGTTCAGTACTACATTCCGTCAGTTCAACAAATTGAAAAATCGTATTTAATGTCCACCATATTTCTTTCCAGTTTAAATACAACACAGACACGTCTGTTTTATAAAGTTATCTACGTTTTGATAACAAATCTGCTGAACAAATCGTAATATTTGGAATGTATTGACTCCCGGGAAATGTATTTTCGTTCCATGAAAGTTTAAAAATTATCGGGTCACACTCGTGTTACGTCACATCATGTGACTTTATTCGGTGCGGAGAACTGACGAAATATTGACGAAATGTTGTGCCCATTTCAACATCAATATAACAAACAAAACACCACATTTATGCGTAAGTTATGTTCTCTTTATTTCAAATAAATACTTGGGTTTACATGGTACCCGATGTTTTGGTTGGATGGCTAATAGGGAATGAATAATAAGTGATGATTCAGCAGTGTGTTTTTTCCGGAGTAAATACCCCCTTTTTTGCATTGGACCTTGTCTGGCCCTAGATCTATGACAATTCAGAATCTGGAGAAGATTACTGGGCCAGACGGGTTTGGTTAAGAGAATCTATTCCATAATTTCAACATTACTACGCGGTTTTACAAGCGAAAAGGATAAGGGCAGGTTGTATATAGGACTGGACAAGATGAAAATAAATATTCTAAATAGATGACACCCCTTTCGAAATAAGATGAACTGAACCTATCACATCAACGATTTCTTAGAAGAAATTACGTCAGAAAAACAAAAGCTCCGTAGAGAATTTTAGCTTGAAATGTTGAAAAGCAAGCCCAGTTTTCTATGGGAATATACGGTAATTAATAGTTACGTGTACAATATTACCGAGTTCGATGGTGCATAAGTTAGGCGGTGGATCATTTTGTAAGAACGACAATGTGAATTCATGCGACTGTTACTTTTTGGAAGGTTTTTTGCAAAAAAGTCGAGTGACTTTTTTTAGATGTCGAAAATCTTAGTCTAGCTTTCGCAGGAAGTAACTCAAGTCTTGAGAACAACAATAATGGGACATCATTGATTGTCCGGGAGAAAAACCTATAGTATACTGCATCTCTAGGTATGTTGTGACTGTGAAGAATTTAAATTCCAGAATTGTTTGCTGTTTGTTTGCAGCTTTTTGAATATTTTGATTTGAAATTGAACATCAAAATTTACAATCAAGAATAGAGCTTCCAAGCGGCTGAAACCATAATGATACGAGTCAAATCAGATGTTAAGCATATAAAGTATAAGAAAACTTAAAATCCATTAAGATACATACCATATTTGTGCGATAAATTGGCTAATTCTTCTGGAATATTCTGCACGTTTTTCCCTGTCAAAATCCAATATGGCCTAATCTCGCCAATTCTCGCAATATCTCCACGTTCTCAGAGTAAACAACATGGCGGTCACAACCTGACAACAGTGGAAATTTGAGATAAAATCACTCAAATACGTAGCAAGAATAGCATATAGAGAAATAACTGTGTGATGTATTTTGATTCAATATGGTTCCAATCAATTCAATTGCATTCAAGTCTATAATGATCTCGCAAATATTATTTTTGCTGTTTTCAAAGTCATTTTAAATTTTTATGATTTTCCATTTTCACCATCAGAATAGGCCGAAGCTAATCTAGGCCTAATCAGTGAGTAAATAGGTTCAACATTTTGAAAAAATGTTGACATGGGGTCTCATCTACATCTACATCAATAATACATAATTCTTTGAATGAAAACCATTGTATTTAGAATTACCTGGCAAACTGCACACATTGGACCTTCAGCCCTGTCAACCCTCACGCATTAGGCGTGATTGTCACGCATTTGCTGGAAAAATAGAAACCACGCATCAATTTAGTGTGTATATAGGGGTTATGCACTGGGAGGTTTTGGATACAGGGAATATCCCGAGGGATATACAATATATCTTCCCGAGGGACCGAAGGGACCGAGGGAAGCTGTATTGTATATCCCAAGGGATATGCCATGTATCCAAACCGACCGTGCATAACTGGTGTATCTCATACTTGAGTGGGTTTAGGGTAGATATAACCTTTTCCACCTTTTTCAAATGACAAGATATTTATATTTAACATTTTCGTAATATTCTTTTTGTTCAATACAATGAAATTGTAACATTTAAACTTAAAAAAATTAAATTTTAAAATTAAAAAATTAAAACTTTTGATATTTAAACTTTTTTAAACTTTTGAAAAATTCCCGGGAGCGGGATGGATATATTATATCTGCCCACATTTGGCCTGGAGCGGGACATATACAATATATCCTGCCCGCTCCTCAGATACGATATATATTCCCGGGTGATATCTACCCCAAACCCACTCTAGTATGAGATACGATCAAATATCACGCAAATCATGCATTTCGTTGATATTTTAAAAATCATTTTTTTGTGAAATGCCGATACGGTAAAATATCGAACGGGGAAAAAAAGCGAACGCATTCTGTTCGGTCTTTGCTTGCGATTGCCGTTTATGTCACGCATTCGGTATAAAATATGTGTATATATCACGCACTTGTTCCGAAAATATTTACATCTAACTCTGCATATTTGCTCAAAGGAGCCTATTAATTAGCTTTCTAAAATCAAATTCAATTCCATTGTAGCACTGAAAATAAAATATGGGGAAGAAGAAGGGTAAAAAGAGTGGTGCAAAGAGCACCAGCGGGAAAAAGAAAGGAAAGAGAGGGAAGAAGACGGCAGAACCACAAATAACTGCACAAGAAGCAATATTAGCCTACCAGTAAGTAGAAAATACAATATTAACCTAACAGTAAATACAAGAGACAATATTAGCTTACCAGTAAATACTAGGTGCAATATTAGTCTACCAATATTGAGTAAATATAAGACCCACTATTGGGCTACCAGTAAGTGCAAGAAGTATCATTTGGCTACCAGTGTACAGGAGGCAATATTAGCCTTGTAACCCTAATGTACCAAAGAATATTATATTAGCCTCCAGTAAATGGTGTCGGTGTCACAGATGACTCAAAAGGAAAATGAGGAATCTCAAATAAAATATACATCATCATAGGTATAATGTCATTATAGGTATGCATTACAGGCCCGTAGCCAGAATTTTCCAAGGGTGGGTTCACTTTTCCCAAAAATTCTAGGGGTTCACTTTGGCAAATTTGGCCAAAAATCACTCAAAAAATAGTCAGAATGGTGAAAAACTGCATGATTTTCAGAGAAATTTTGGCCATGGTGGGGGGTTCGCCTGGCTACGGGCCTGCATTAGTCATCTTATCATCATAGGTATATATAAATCATCATTAATATTTATCATCATTATTCATAGGTGTATTATCATCATAGGTATGTTTTAGTCAACTTATCATTATAGGTATATTGTCATCAAAGGTGTGTATTAGTCATCTTATCATCACAGGTTTATTGTCATCATAAGTATGTATTAGTCATCTTATCATCATAGGTATATTGTCATCATAGGTGTGTTAGTCATCTTATCATCATAGGTATACTGTCATCATTGGTGTGTATTAGTCATTTTATCATCATAGCTATATTGTCATCATAGTTGTGCATTAGTCATCTTATCATCAGAGGTATATTGTCATCATAGGTGTGCATTAGTCATCTTATCATCATCAGGTATATTGTCATCAAAGGTGTGTATAAGTCATCTTATGATCATAGGTATATTGTCATCATATGTGTGTATTAGTCATTTTATCATCATAGGTATATTGTCATCATATGTGTGTATTAGTCATCTTATCATCATAGGTATATTGTCATCACAGGTGTGTATTAGTCATTTTATCATCACAGGTATATTGTCATCATAGGTGTGTATTAGTCATCTTATCATCATAGGTATATTGTCATCATAGGTATGTATTAGTCATCTTATCATCATAGGTATATTGTCATCATAGGTGTGTATTAGTCATCTTATTATCATAGGTATATTATCATCATAGGTGTGAATTAGTCATCTTATCATCATAGGTATATTGTCATCATATGTGTGTATTAGTCATCTTATCATCATAGGTATATTGTCATCACAGGTGTGTATTAGTCATTTTATCATCACAGGTATATTGTCATCATAGGTGTGTATTAGTCATCTTATCATCATAGGTATATTGTACTCATAGGTGTGTATTAGTCATCTTATCATCATAGGTATATTGTCATCATAGGTGTGTATTAGTCATCTTATTATCATAGGTATATTGTCATCATATGTATGTATTAGTCATCTTATCATTGTGGCGAAGTTGAGTCTCTCTATCTTTTACAAAACATGAAAACAAATATAGTTAAAAATATTAATTTATTAAAGAAAAGCCAAAGTCCAAAAATATCATTTCAATCAGTTTTTGGTTAGTCCCGAGTTCACACAACGAGGTTCTGAGGTTCCACATGCCAAAAATGCCTCTTTTATATCTTAATTTTGAGGTGGGCAGAGCCGAAATAAGAGGTCTTATCCAATAAAATATTAGGAAATCCCATTAACTAAAATTGGCCTAAAAATGAATGTTTAATTTTATAAAATGTCAATAAGAAATAGTGATGATTTTCTGCCCACGAATCTTGAATGTTTACCGAAAGTTTGAGAATTTGGCAGAATTTGGTGGGAAAGGAATGTCTAGACAAAACCTCTGAGCCTTGTCTCATGAACTCTGGATGTTTAATCTAATTATCCAATTTAGTTCATTATCTAATTTATGTCCTAAACACATATTCATAGGTAAATTTTTCCCCTAAAAAGTATACAATTATTCGTAAAATGTGATGTAGAATATAAAGGTATAAACATTTGCAAAGTATATACAGCAGTATTGATGTTTTGGTCAGTTGTACTCTGGGTCGTTAGGTTTAATCGCTTTTTACTTTGTTTATCAGAAATTTGCAGTCTTCAATATGATGCCAAAAACTATCGAAACTTATAAACATCTTAACTAAACATTGCAAAATTTCCCATCAGTTGACTTCATTTATCATTGTCTGTCACTCATATCTCAAGATTAATTCTTTCATTTGATTGGCTCTAGATATAGTTCATGCCTAAAAACTGCTCTAACATGATGATAAAACATTAGAAATTAAACTGTTGATATTGTGAAATATCACACTGAGTTCAAAGATCCCCAAAACAACTGTTATAATACAAATATAAACTTATCAAAAATACGCAATAATTATAAACATGAGTAACAGAAAAAGATCATCATGACATCAACTGATGTGAAGTGAAATAAGTAGACTGACCAACGAGGTCAGCTATGACTTCATCACATCATCACAGGTATATTGTCATTATAAGTGTGTATTAGTCATCCTATCATCATAGTCATCATAGGTGTGTTAGTCATCTTATCATCATAGGTATATTGTCATCATAGGTGTGTATTAGTTATTTTATCATCATAGCTATATTGCCATCATAGGTGTGTATTAGTCATCTTATCATCGTAGGTATATTGTCATCATAGGTGTGTATTAGTCATCTTATCATCATAGGTATATTGTCATCATAGGTATGTATTAGTCCTCTTATCATCATAGGTATATTGTCATCATAGGTGTGTATTAGTCATCTTATCATCATAAGTATATTGTAATCATATGTATGTATTAGTCATCTTATCATAATAGGTATATTGTCATCATAGGTGTGTATTAGTCATCTTATTATCATAGGTATATTGTCATCGTAGATATGTAGTAGTCATCTTATCATCATTGGTATATTGTCATCATAGGTATATTATCGTCATAGGTGTGTATTAGTCATCTTATCATCATAGGTATATTGTCATCATAGGTGTGTATTAGTCATCTTATTATCATAGTTATATTGTCATCATATGTGTGTATTAGTCATCTTATCACCATAGGTATATTGTCATCATAGGTGTGTATTAGTCATTTTATTATCATAGGTATATTGTCATCATAGGTATGTATTAGTCATCTTATCATCATAGGTATATTGTCATCATAGGTGTGTATTAGTCATCTTATCACCATAGGTATATTGTCATCATAGGTATGTATTAGTCATCTTATCATCATAGGTATATTGTCATCATAGGTGTGTATTAGTCATCTTATCATCATAGGTATATTGTCATCATAGGTGTGTATTAGTCATCTTATCATCATAGGTATATTGTCATCATAGGTGTGTATTAGTCATCTTATCATCATAAGTATATTGTAATCATATGTATGTATTAGTCATCTTATCATCATAGGTATATTGTCATCATAGGTGTGTATTAGTCATCTTATCATCATAGATATATATAAATCATCATTAATATTTGTCATCATTATTCATAGGTGTATTATCATCATAGGTGTGTATTAGTCATCTTATGATCATAGGTATATTGTCATCATATGTGTGTATTAGTCATCGTATCATCATAGGTATATTGTCATCATAGGTGTGTATTAGAAATCTTATTAACATAGGTATATTGTCATCATAGCTTCTTTTATATATTTATTATTGTAGGTATTAATCATCTTTTATATTTATATTTATCATCTTAGGTACATGTGTTAATTGTGTCTTTTAAGATTAACATCAACGAGAAACAGATGGATGATTACATGTGTTATTGTGTCTTTTAGGATTAATATCAAAGAGAAACAGATGGAGGATTATATGTGTTATTGTGTCTTTTAGGATTAATATCAAAGAGAAACAGATGGAGGATTATATGTGTTATTGTGTCTTTTAGGATTAATATCAAAGGGGAACAGATGGAGGATTATATGTGTTATTGTGTCTTTTAGGAATAATATCAGAGAAACAGATGGAGGATTATATGTGTTATTGTGTCTTTTAGGAATAATATCAAAGAGAAACAGATGGAGGATTATATGTGTTATTGTGTCTTTTAGGATTAATATCAAAGAGAAACAGATGGACGATTATATGTGTTATTGTGTCTTTTAGGATTAATATCAGAGAAACAGATGGAGGATTATATGTGTTATTGTGTCTTTTAGGAATAATATCAAAGAGAAACAGATGGAGGATTACATGTGTTATTGTGTCTTTTAGGATTAATATCAAAGAGAAACAGATGGAGGATTATATGTTTGAGATAAAAAGCCTTGAGGAGAAAAAACAAAGACACCAAGGAAGAGTAAGTATTAATTAGGGAACCTTGTGCTGCCATCTATATTTGCACTCTTTAAACTAGAGCTGACTCTGAAATGAGGCTACATTTAATCAAAATGTTTAGGAAATTCATCCAGTTTTAAATCAAATGCTAATAAAATTTAGAAAAAACATTTGAAATGAGTAAGATCTTATTGAAATCTGAGAGTAAAATATCTAAACTGATTATTATTTTATGTTAGTCTCAATTGAAATGAAGATTGTAAAATGATTTGTATGAAATCAGAGGGCAGTTTAGTGAACTATTATATAGAATCTGGGTTGAATAAATCAATTGAAAAACACAGAATTTTGTGTGTAATTTTCTATTAAAATAACAACTTTAATTTGCACAGTTAGAATGTTAAAAATCGTTCAAAGTTCTTTTAGTCTTCTAAAGATCACAATTTTTAATGTTTAAATACAATTTGCGTGTCAACATGGTCAACAAGATCACACAGTTCCATTAAAATGGCACCTGGTACAGTATTAATGTTAAATTTGTAGAATAATCGCCTAAAAGAAGAACAGGGTCAGTACTTGAAGACACTGTTAAAGCAGGCCAGAGAGTATGAGAAGAAGCTGGATGGGTTGGACCCCATACAAAAAGATGCGGTGATCACAATTATGATGGACAAATGGGAGTCAGAGAGGCAAGAGAAGAAGAATTTACAAGGTAAATTACGATTGTTTTATCAAAATTGCTTGTTTTTAGAAATTTTGCATTCTTAATGTTGACCGTTTAAAATTATTATGAAGCGTCAAGGGCAACAATTAAGCATTACAATTCATTATAAGTGTTAATTGTTTTAGAGTTACGCAGTGAGATCAAAAAACTAGACTCAAGTATTGAGGGAATGAAGAAAGAAGTAACCTGTTGGAAGGAATACAAAGACAGGGGACATCAATCGCACAAGACACAGATTACTTTGCTAGAAAAAGAGCTAATTGACATGAATATCAGTTTTGAAGAGATGTCAGGTAAACTAACATATTTGATGTCATATAGATTTTATATACGAGTATAGTGTCAGGTAGATAAGATATTTGATGTCAGATAAATTTGAATATTTGATGTTATATGAATAAGAAATAGTTGATGTCATGTATAAAAGCATAACTATTTTTAAGGGATGTGCCTCTTTATACCCATTGCTTATAGGGGCTGTGCCTCTTTAACAATTTTACTTATATATTTTAGGTCACTTGGAAAAAACTCAGGAAAAAGCTCGGAACGAAATACAGGAATATACAGACACAACATTAGATAAACAGAAACATTTGGCCACAGAGGTATGTTTGAAAATGTAAAAGCAGGAGAAGTAAGACATTTGAGAGGTTAAGCTGACATTTTTAAGAACTTGTACATGAACATGTGAAATTATGACCTCCCCTTTTAAGAGTACATGTACATGAACATGTGAAATTATGACCTCCCCATTAGAGAACTTGTACATGAACATGTGAAATTATGACCTCCCCTATAAGAGAACTTGTACATGAACCTGTAAAACTATGACCTCCCTCATATAAGGAGAACTTGTACATGAACATGTGAAATTATGACCTGCCCCATAAGACAACTTGTACATGAACATGTGAAATTATGACCTCCCCCATAAGAGAACTTGTACATGAACATGTGAAATGATGACCTCCCCATTTAAGAGAACTTGTACATGAACATGTGAAATTATGACCTCCCCCATAAGACAACTTGTACATGAACATGTGAAATGATGACCTCCCCATTTAAGAGAACTTGTACATGAACATGTGAAATTATGACCTCCCCTTTTAAGAGTACATGTACATGAACATGTGAAATTATGACCTCCCCCATAAGAGAACTTGTACATGAACATGTGAAATTATGACCTCCACCATTATAGAGAACTTGTACATGAACATGTGAAATTATGACCTCCCCTATAAGAGAACTTGTACATGAACATGTGAAATTATGACCTCCCCCATAAGACAACTTGTACATGAACATGTGAAATGATGACCTCCCCATTTAAGAGAACTTGTACATGAACATGTGAAATTATGACCTCCCCTTTTAAGAGTACATGTACATGAACATGTGAAATTATGACCTCCCCCATAAGAGAACTTGTACATGAACATGTGAAATTATGACCTCCCCTATAAGAGAACTTGTACATGAACATGTGAAATTATGACCTCCCCCATAAGACAACTTGTACATGAACATGTGAAATTATGACCTCCCCATTAAAGAGAACTTGTACATGGACATGTGAAATTTTGACCTGCCCTCATAAGATTTCATGTACATGAACATGTGAAATTATGACCTGCCCTCATAAGAGTTCATGTACATGAACATGTGAAATTATGACCTCCCCCATAAGACAACTTGTACATGAACATGTGAAATTATGACCTCCCCTTTTAAGAGTACTTGTACATGAACATGTCAAATTATGACCTCCCCCATAAGAGAACTTGTACATGTGAAATTATGAACTCCCCATAAGAGAACTTGTACATGAACACATGAAATTATGACCTCCCCCATAAGACAACTTGTACATGAACATGTGAAATTATGACCTGCCCCATAAGACAACTTGTACATGAACATGTGAAATTATGACCTGCCCCATAAGACAACTTGTACATGAACATGTGAAATTATGACCTCCCCCATAAGACAACTTGAACATGAACATGTGAAATTATGACCTCCCCATAAGACAACTTGTACATGGACATGTGAAATTATGACCTGCCCCATAAGACAACTTGTACATGAACATGTAAAATTATGACCTCCCAATAAGACAACTTGTACATGAACACGTGAAATTATGACCTCCCCCATAAGACAACTTGTACATGAACATGTGAAATTATGACCTCCCCATAAGAGAACTTGTACATGAACATGTGAAATTATGACCTCCCCATAAGAGAACTTGTACATGTACATGAACATGTTGAATTATGACCTCCCCAATATGAGAACTTGTACATGAAAGTGTCAAATTATGACCTCCCCCATAAGACAGTTTGTACATGAACATGTGAAATTATGACCTCCCCCATAAGACAACTTGTACATGGACATGTGAAATTATGACCTGCCCCATAAGAGAACTTGTACATGTACATGAACCTGTTGAATTATGACCTCCCCCATATGAGAACTTGTACATGAACATGTGAAATTATGACCTCCCCATAAGAGTACATGTACATGAACATGTGAAATTATGACCTCCCCATAAGAGAACTTGTACATGAACATGTGAAATTATGACCTCCACCATTATAGAGAACTTGTACATGAACATGTGAAATTATGACCTTCCCCATAAGAGAACTTGTACATGAACGTGTGAAATTATGACCTCCCCATAAGAGAACTTGTACATGAACATGTGAAATTATGACCTCCCCGCTCCCCCATAAGAGAACTTGTACATGAACATGTGAAATTATGACCTCCCCATAAGAGAACTTGTACATGAACATGTGAAATTATGACCTCCCCATAAGAGAACAGTCCCCCTCTCAATTGGTTTTCCTGGGACCTTATTTGAAAACATGCATACAACAATTAGTTATGAAAATAAATTATAGCAGGGACTCAATTTTTTTTTTTTTGAATAAAGATAGGAAAATAACTTAAAAACACTGATATATTTGAATTTTCTTTGGAAAGAACTCTAATTTTTATTTAAATGTTGATCTTCCAAGCTTGAACAATCAAAATGTAAGTGATTTAATATGAGCAAAAATATATGAGAATGTTCCACCTATCTTAGCCCACTCTGTATATAATTAATTTCAAAAAATCTATCATTGTAATATTTAAATAAAAGAGGGCACTGGAAACATTGGATGATTTTACTTGGAGTGAGGCAGTTGAAAATCACACAATGAAAGAAGAGGTAAGGTCAAGGTCCCAAAAAGTGGGTTAGGTGCCACGAAAAATTTGTAATTGGTTACCATGGCAACAACAACCCATTCATCAGATAGAAATGATCAAAAGAATTTAGCCAGATTGACCCAACCTTGTTGAACCCAACTCCATATTAGTGTACCAAATCTGACACAACCCTACCAAACCCAGCCCAATATGACCCAACTCTACCTGACCCACTTATGCGAAATTGCCCAATTACTGGATATAGAAGTTAAAATTTGTTTACACTGCATGCATGTGTTTAATATAGGAACCACAATTCAAAAATGGTTGATTGTGAAGAAATATATTTTTGCATTTCTATACATGTTGTTTCTAGAGAAGATATTCTAGAATGCCCAATTGCCCATGAGAAGATTTTTGTTCCACAGTTGCAATCATTGCTTTCATTTGAAAAATGTCCAGTCGGAACCAAAGAAATATTACAGTCATTGAAACAATCAATTTTGAAATGGTATTTTTGAAGATGTTAATCCAATAGATGGCACACTGATCATATAGCGCCACCTATTGATTCAACACATATGAGTGTTGTGCAAGTTGGGCTAATCGATAGATGGCATATAGATCAGCCTTGTTGCTATTGTAGTGTCACCTATTGGCTGAACACCTGAGTTTATTCTGCACATAATGTAGATGTCCTCCAGTTAATAGATGTGTGTTGTTATATTTTCTGTAGCGTGCCATGGGAACTATGGACAAATATGACAGACAGGCTGTGTTGGACAATGAATGGATCAAACAAGAGGTAGGAGAATTTAGGTGTGATGTCATTTCCTCAGGGGAATGGGTTGGGTAGTGGGGTATGTATAAGGGTTGAGTAGAGGGGTACGGGGTGATATATACTATGACAAATATGATAGACAGGCTGTGTTGGACAATGAATGGATCAAACAAGAGGTAGGAGAATCTAGTTGTGATGTCATTTCCTCAGGGGAATGGGTTGGGTAGAAGGGGTAGGTATAAGGGTTGAGTAGAAGGGGTAGGGGGTGATATATACTATGACAAATATGATAGACAGGCTGTGTTGGACAATGAATGGATCAAACAAGAGGTAGGAGAATCTAGTTGTGATGTCATTTCCTCAAGGGAATGGGTTGGGTAGAAGGGTATGTATAAAGGTTAAGTAGAAGGGGTAGGGGGTGATATATACTATGACAAATATGATAGACAGGCTGTGTTGGACAATGAATGGATCAAACAAGAGGTAGGAGAATCTAGTTGTGATGTCATTTCCTCAGGGGAATGGGTTGGGTAGAAGGGGTAGGTATAAGGGTTGAGTAGAAGGGGTAGGGGGTGATATAGCCTATGACAAATATGATAGACAGGCTGTGTTGGACAATGAATGGATCAAACAAGAGGTAGGAGAATCTAGTTGTGATGTCATTTCCTCAAGGGAATGGGTTGGGTAGAGGGGTATGTATAAGGGTTGAGTAGGGGGTGATATATACTATGGACAAATATGATAGACAGGCTGTGTTGGACAATGAATGGATCAAACAAGAGGTAGGAGAATCTAGTTGTGATGTCATTTCCTCAAGGGAATGGGTTGGGTAGAGGGGGTAGGGGGTGATATAGACTATGGACAAATATGATAGACACGCTGTGTTGGACAATGAATGGATCAAACAAGAGGTAGGAGAATCTAGTTGTGATGTCATTTCCTCAAGGGAATGGGTTGGGTAGAAGGGTATGTATAAAGGTTAAGTAGTAGGGGTAGGGGGTGATATAGACTATGGACAAATATGATAGACAGGCTGTGTTGGACAATGAATGGATCAAACAAGAGGTAGGAGAATCTAGTTGTGATGTCATTTCCTCAAGGGAATGGGTTGGGTAGAAGGGTATGTATAAAGGTTAAGTAGAAGGGGTAGGGGGTGATATATACTATGACAAATATGATAGACAGGCTGTGTTGGACAATCAATGGATCAAACAAGAGGTAGGAGAATCTAGTTGTGATGTCATTTCCTCAGGGGAATGGGTTGGGTAGAGGGGGTAGGTATAAAGGTTGAGTAGTAGGGGTAGGGGTTGATATAGACTATGGACAAATATGACAGACAGGCTGTGTTGGACAATGAATGGATCAAACAAGAGGTAGGAGAATCTAGTTGTGATGTCATTTCCTCAAGGGAATGGGTTGGGTAGAAGGGGTAGGGGGTGATATAGACTATGGACAAATATGATAGACAGGCTGTGTTGGACAATCAATGGATCAAACAAGAGGTAGGAGAATCTAGTTGTGATGTCATTTCCTCAAGGGAATGGGTTGGGTAGAGGGGTGGGTATAAAGGTTGAGCAGAAGGGGTAGGCCTATGCCATATATGGTTTGGGAAGATGAACACAGTCTACATGATCTTGAGGGAATGGGTTGGGTAGAGGGGTAGGTATAAAGGCTGAGTAGAAGGGGTAGGCCTATGCCATATATGGTTTGGGAAGATGAACACAGTCTACATGATCTTGAGGGAATGGGTTGGGTAGAGGGGTAGGTATAAAGGCTGAGTAGAAGGGGTAGGCCTATGCCATATATGGTTTGGGAAGATAAACACAGTCTACATAATCTTGAGTTCATTTTGGGGGATGTAAGGAACTTTATTGTTTTATTAGATGCATTATGTTTGATTCCAGTAGTAGCCTGTATATTTACACTAGTTCTGAGTTAGATATTATATATTTTAAATACAACTTGTTATTCAACTAAATAAAAAGTTAGAAGATGAAAAATGCGTTCTTTTTTGCTGTTCATAACCAGAATTGAAATTTATTAGATCATTTTTTGTGAATCAATTTAGGAATCCTATATTTTAGACATAAATAGTGTTTTTATACTCTTTAATGGCACATGACAACAGTATGAATGATATTAAACAAATACTGGAAAAAAATACTAGGCTCCGCTTCGCCTCGCCTAGTATTTTTTCCTCGGATAGGTATTCTGGCATATCCACCTCATGGTCATCCAGTATTTATTTTATTATGCACCTCCCTTGAAGAATACTTTATTTTAAAGAAAGGGTCCACTAAAACAGAAGCTGAGCCTAGTAATTTTTTGCGAGGATAGGTATTCTGGCATACGGGATGGTTGGAGATCTCGTTGCTTCAATACTGGATAGAACGAGATCTTGCTGCCACGTATGGCAATAGACCCTGCAGCTCTTAACCAATTAGATTTGAGTATTTTAATGAGGTGCATAATAAAATGATATAATTGATGACTACGATATTACCAAAGACCTGCTACCTTAGTTGATGTCAAGGCATTTTATTCTAGCTTGATATAGACTTAGATCAATGATGTAAATTGTAATGCATATTATATCATTTTATTCTAGCTTGATAAGACTTAGATCAATGATGTAAATTGTAATGCATATTTTTATTTTATAAATTGTTTACTTTATTGGATTCATCTTGATGTGTATATTTATTGATATTAATTTTGAAAGTGTAGATAAAAGAAATCATTTTTATGTCACCACCAAAACGTGGTGACATATTGTAATGGTCTCCGTTTTTTGGACGGCAGTTGGTGGTTGGCGGTTGGTGATCGGTGTCTGTAACAAATTCTTACAACTTCCAATAACTTAACAAATACTGTTTAGACTGACTTCAATTTTTTTCCAAAATCATATACATGTTCTTAGAAGTTCAAAGCTGACTTTATATTTAAAAAAGGTCAAAAAGGTCTTGCTTCAAATTGACCTTTTTTCAAAATCATCTACAAGTTCTCAACAGTTCAAATCTGACTATAGATTTGACCTTCAATGACATTCTCAAGGTCAAAAAGGTCTTTTTTCATCTTGCTTCAAATTGACCAATTTTTTTAAAAATCATCTACATATTCTCAGAAGTTCAAATCTGACTTTAGATTTGACCTTCAATGACATTTTCAAGGTCAAAAAGGTCTTTTTTCATCTTGCTTCAAATTGACCAATTTTTTTAAAAATCATCTACATGTTCTCAGAAGTTCAAATCTGACTTTAGATTTGAGGTCTCACCTTCAATGACCTTCTCAGTGTCAAAAAATTGACTTCAAATTGACCAGTTTATTTTTTCAAAAATATCTACAAGTTCTCAGAAATTCAAATCAGACTTAAGATTGAACTCATAATAGTGTAAGCTACAAGGTGGTGACATTTTGTCATGTTAATGCCTTGTATGTGTTGCTTTTGTAGGTTGCTATACATCATAAAGATGCAAAGACAATGGTAGAAGTGTTGAAGAAATGATTTTTTATGTTGCTTTTGTAGGTTGCTATACATCATAAAGATGCAAAGACAATGGTTGGAGTTGTTGAAGAAATGATTTTACATGTTGCTTTTGTAGGTTGCTATACATCATAAAGATGCAAAGACAATGGTAGAGTTGTTGAAGAAATGATTTTACATGTTGCTTTTGTAGGTTGCTATACATCATAAAGATGCAAAGACAATGGTAGGAGTTGTTGAAGAAATGATTTTATATGTTGCTTTTGTAGGTTGCTATACATCATAAAGATGCAAAGACAATGGTAGAGTTGTTGAAGAAATGATTTTATATGTTGCTTTTGTAGGTTGCTATACATCATAAAGATGCAAAGACAATGGTAGGAGTTGTTGAAGAAATGGAAAAGGAGAATTTAGAGATAATGTGTGATCTCTTTGAGTGCAATGTGGATGACTTAAAAATATCAAGGTACAAGTCTAAAAAAAAAATTTTCTTATTTCTTATAAAATGATGTGTTTTTATCACAATTTGAAAAGGTGCTATATTATTATCCTCTTATGCTGATGGGCGTGCATGTGTCTAGCCAAGGGTCTGCCAAAATCTTTTCATCAAAATCCCAGGAAAACAACTTACCTGTTAGAGTTTTTCAAGTTTTTACATATGTGTGAACCTTGAGAAGGTAACATTCATGTATATGACAATATGACATGTTAAGAGATGTTTTGGATTTGGTTTATTTAAAGAGGGATGGATATTTTACCAAGGACTTGGAAGATCTGAGGTACATTAACATATTGATTCTTTTAGGAATTTTTACTTAACACAATTTGAAGACAATGAGAACTTAGATGAGACTGGAAATATTCTTGAGATAGATCTAAGCCGTGTATCTCTTAGTCACAGAAATGAGACCCCGTCCCCTCCACTAGTTAGTGATGGTAAGTTGACTTGACTTATATTTCAAACAAATCAAAAAATAAGTTTGATATAACATGTATATAAGAGTGACAAAATAAAACAAATATTTCATTCTATTTTGATAAAAATATCATTAACATTAATTTTTTATATTATCTAAGAAATATAGACCTCAGAGCAGGGGTAATATCGTCGAATACACCCCGCAGGACTAGGCACAATCGTTTCCTGTACTCCGAATGACCAAAGGGAGTAAGGGGTTCGAAAGCTTTTGTGCCTAGCCCTAAGGGGTGTATTCGACGATATTACCCCTGCTCTGAGGTCTATATTACGATTCGAACATGAAAATTCACCAAAATGTTTATGGTCTGCCATTACTACGGTCCGCCGTTATGACGTCACACATTACACGTATTACCAGGGGCATTGTTCGCGAATATACCCCGGGTGGAATGTTGACTTTGTTTACAGTTTATAGAAGGCGTGAATACAGTCATGTTCGAATATCAAATATTAAGTATTTGTTGCACTTTTAGTAATTTTTCAACATTTATTCTTTTAGCTTATTCGGTTTTCCCCAGAATGAAATGTTAAATCGTATCTTTGAATTATTTTTGCTTTGTAGTACCCAGAAAGCCTCGGCCGAAGAGTGCTGCATTGAAAGCAATTGAGGAGAAAGTAGCAGCTGTAACTGCCCAGCATGCAGTGGAACATGGCTATGATATTGACATCAACAGTGACTGTAAGTAGAACAGTATTATTTGGTTTTCTAACTTCACAAACGACAAATTGCTTAAGTAATAGACTGTGGCACTGGACTGTAAAACTAGACTGATGCACTAGACTGTTGCACTAGACTGATAAAGGACTGATGCACTAGACTGATGCACTAGACTGTTGCAATAGACTGTTGTACTCGACTGATGTACTAGACTGTTTCACTAGACTGATGCACTAAACTGATGCACTAGACTGTTGCACTTGACTGTTGCACTAGACTGATGCACTAGACTGTTTCACTAGACTGATTTTTTTTTATTGTTATCAATTTATTACTAATATAAACATTTACATTCAATTACAATAATTACTAATTGCCAACGTTTTTCAACATTAGCGGCAATTTAATATATATATATATATTATATATGCATGTAGATATTAAATATTGAAATAGGAAAAATTTGTTTAGGTTATTTCAAAATACCTGAAGGTTATCCCATGGCCCGGGATGTTAACGGAACTTGAAAAATAAGTCGGTCATTGCAGAAAAAAGGACTTGTCAAATTACTACTAGATAGATAATAAAACAAGACTTGTATGTATATAATAGCTAACAATATGAATTAAAGCTTCATTCATAGTAGCATCCAGGTTAGTGCTTCCAAACAGTAAAAATTGTAATTTGTCGTTCAAGTTGTAATTATTGAACAAGTCACTTAAATTGTAAGTACGAAGGCCTGCAATGAGGTTGTTTCTTTCATTCTGTAGCAGTGGGCATTTTAAAAGAAAATGCATGGTTGTCATTGGTACACCACAATGGCACAAAGGATCAGTAATGTCTTTGAAGTTGTGAGCATAAAGGTGTGATTTTAATAAGAGGCCAGATCTTAGTCTATTAAGTTTTATTTCGAGATGTCTAGACTGATGCACTAGACTGTTGCACTTGACTGATGCACTAGACTGTTTCACTAGACTGATGCACTAGACTGATGCACTAGACTGTTGCACTTGACTGTTGCACTAGACTGATGCACTAGACTGTTTCACTAGACTGATGCACTAGACTGATGCACTAGACTGTTGCACTAGACTGTTTCACGAGACTGATGCACTAGACTGTTGCACTTGACTGTTGCACTTGACTGATGCACTAGACTGTTTCACTAGACTGATGCACTAGACTGTTTCACTAGACTGATGCACAAGACTGATGCACTAGACTGTTGCACTAGACTGATGCACTAGACTGTTGCACTAGACTAATGCTCTAGACTGTTGCAATAGACTGTTGCACTAGACTGATGCACTAGACTGTTGCACTAGACTAATGCTCTAGACTGATGCATTAGACTGTTGCACACGACTGTTTCACTATACTGATGCACTAGACTGATGCACTAGACTGTTGCACTATACTGATGCACAAGACTAATGCACTAGACTGTTGCACTAGACTGTTGCACTAGACTGATGCACTAGACTGATGCACTAGACTGTTGCACTAGACTGATGCACTGGACTGTTTCACTATACTGATGCACTAGACTGTTGCACTAGACTGATGTACTAGACTGTTTCACTATACTGATGCACTAGACTGTTTCACTAGACTGATGCTCACGACTGATGCACTACACTTGTACAAGTCTGATGCACGAGATTGTTGGCGAATTTTACTAAGTAGACCTACTACTGTGTCATTTTAGTCAATGACACGCTGCACATTAACCTCTATTACATCGTAATTTTGGGGTTAATTTGATCAAATAAGCCACCGTAACAAACATTGTTACTTAGAACCCCATTTTTCGCCTAATAACACTTGACAAACATTTACAAAACATGAAATACAATGAAGTCCCATGTAATAACAAATTCCACAAATCCCCGGGGATTTAATTGACAATTTCACACCAATCATTGTCATATAAATGGTCATTGTGCATGTATTGTCATATAAATGGTCATTGTACATGTACTGCCATATAAATGGTCATTGTACATGTATTATCATATAAATGGTCATTGTACATGTATTGTCATATAAAAGGTCATTGTACATGTATTGTTATATAAATGGTTATTGTAAATGTATTGTCGTATAAATGGTCATTGTACATGTACTGTAATATAAATGGTCAGTGTGCATGTGTTGTCATATAAATATTCATTGTACATGTATTGTCATATAAATGGTCATTGTACATGTATTGTCATATAAATGGTCATTGTAAATGTATTGTCATATAAATGGTCATTGTACATGTACTGTCATATAAATCGTCATTGTGCATGTATTGTCATATAAATATTCATTGTACATGTATTGTCATATAAATGGTCATTGTGCATGTATTGTCATATAAATGGTCATTGTGCATGTATTGTCATATAAATATTCATTGTACATGTATTGTCATATAAATGGTCATTGTGCATGTATTGTCATATAAATGGTCATTGTACATGTATTGTCATATAAATGGTCAATGTAAATGTATAGTCATATAAATGATCATTGTACATGTATTGTCGTATAAATGGTCATTGTACATGTACTGTCATATAAATGGTCATTGTGCATGTATTGTCATATAAATATTCATTGTACATGTATTGTCATATAAATGGTCATTGTGCATGTATTGTCATATAAATGGTCATTGTGCATGTATTGTCATATAAATATTCATTGTACATGTATTGTCATATAAATGGTCATTGTGCATGTATTGTCATATAAATGGTCATTGTACATGTATTGTCATATAAATGGTCAATGTAAATGTATAGTCATATAAATGATCATTGTACATGTATTGTCGTATAAATGGTCATTGTACATGTACTGTCATATAAATGGTCATTGTGCATGTATTGTCATATAAATATTCATTGTACATGTATTGTCATATAAATGGTCATTGTGCATGTATTGTCATATAAATATTCATTGTACATGTATTGTCATATAAATGGTCATTGTGCATGTATTGTCATATAAATATTCATTGTACATGTATTGTCATATAAATATTCATTGTACATGTATTGTCATAATAATGGTCATTGTGCATGTATTGTCATATAAATGGTCATTGTACATGTATTGTCATATAAATGGTCAATGTAAATGTATTGTCATATAAATGGTCATTGTACATGTATTGTCATATAAATGGTCACTGTACATGTACTGTCATATAAATGGTCATTGTGCATGTATTGTCATATAAATATTCATTGTACATGTATTGTCATATAAATGGTCATTGTGCATGTATTATCATATAAATAGTCATTGTGCATGCATTGCCATATAAATGGTCATAGTACATGTATTGTCATATAAATGGTCATTGTGCATGTATTGTCATATAAATGGTCATTGTGCATGTATTGCCATATAAATGGTCATTGTACATGTATTGTAATATAAATGGTCATTGTGTTTATGATTTCTAGTCTTCGATTTACCAGGTGAATTTTCTTTTTTTTCAGATGACAATGACAGTATAGGTGGCGATAGTATGCAAGAAGACCCCTTCAACAATTACTTCAACTTTGACGATGAAGATTTTGAGGTAAGTTTTATGTCATACATATACACTGTATGCTGATCAAACAAACTTTTTGCAACTATTTAACATTTCTCAATTTTTAATTGACGAAAAGTAAAAATAAATAGTTAAACGCCAGAAAATTAACAGGAATTAATATTTGCAGTCAGTAATTATTTAATTGGTTATGGGCTTTCAAACTTTCCTTTGAAAGCCCATGATCAATGAGTTGATCATTCCTGAATACAAAAGTTCAGACTTCATCCACTCTTGGATATATTTGTAAAATGTAAGATAAAATTGCTGTAACTAATTTGTTGTGTATGTAATGTATTGAAGGGCAGTTATTTAATTTACATTGATTTGCACATACATCTGAACTTGCACACAAATGAGGATGTAAATATGAATGAATGAATTTTCAGGAATATCTTAAACTAGGACCGCTGGAACTGAAGTTGCTAAATGTCACAGGAAATCAAATGACTCTGAATAAACAAAAGACTCTCACTGAAGAGGAAATACGATCGAAGGACTTCCGACCAGATGAGTGGCCAGTCACACAACCAATGTTACAAGAAGCTTTGGGTGGCGATAAGGGGTCTCCAAGAACCCCTCGAACATAACTTCATCTATAGTATTTTTATAGAATCAAAAGTAGGAAAGTGGAGAAAGTATTGCTTTTTAAACATTCCAGAATACTTAAGCTAATACTCTCTAATTTAGAGATTCATAATTCACAATATTTCTAGATTTTATTGTAATGATTTATAGTGTGGAATGACCGAATAAAACGAGTGTAAAAAAGCCACATGAACACATAATTGGGTGAATAATGTGACATTTGGGTGAAATGTATATGCACATATGGGTGAATAATGTGACATTTGGGTGAAATGTATACTGTAGATTGGGTTAATTTGGCGCCCGCTTTAATTTGGCGAATTTGGCGAAATTGAAAAATTCGCCAATATAAATCTTCGCCAAAATTTAGAATGAATCCCCGGGAATTATCTAGGGTATTTCGTCCAGTGTATTTAGGTCACTTCAGGTTAAGTTTTTTCCAAAAATATGAAAAAGTGTCTCTCATAAATTGGCTCAGAACTGTTCAGTCACTCATTAATACTCAGAGAAAAACTAGAAAGGAAAAGCGCGGTATAGTAGCAGCATCGATCGGGGTGCAAAATGTAAAGGATGATCTCACAAAAATGTACAAACGTGGTGAATATCGCCAGTGGTCCTCAAAAGAAAAAATGAACATAGCTAAACATGCCCATTTACATGGTACAGCGTGTAAGTTTAACATTTTTTTGCATATCCGTCAAATTAAATAGCCGCCAATATGCCAAAAATAACAAAATCGCCAAATTAAGTAGCGCCAAATTAACCCAATCTACAGTATTCACATATGGGTGAATAATGTGACATTTGGGTGAAATGTATATTCACATATGGGTGAAACGTATAAATGTTCAAAACATGATTGTAACTAGGCAAGGCAACTGACTCACAGACATTTTTAGATATTTATCGAACAATTTTTCTTCTAAAATATTGAAAAAATTAAGCCTAAGATAGTAGAAACATCCCTTTACAGGCGTAATTTGCTTCGTCTATTGATTTCTGCCTTGCCTTATTACTTTAGATCCTTCCTACACCCAATACAATACAATTATAACAATGTAAATATGAAATAAAGTAATAAACATATACATTTAAGTAATGAAAAACATTTTATTTGTGCATCTGCAGACTTTTAAACTATAATCCGGTTGCTGTTAAAATTGTATTTATGAATATTTGCCCAAAGTTCAAGTTGAAATTGTATTTATGAAGATTTGTCCAAAGTTCAAGTTGAAATTGTACTTATGAGGATTTGTCCAAAGTTCAAGTTGAAATTGTATTTATCAGGATTTGCCCAAAGTTCAAGTTGAAATTGTATTTATGAAGATTTGACCAAAGTTCAAGTTGAAATTGTACTTATGAGGATTTGTCCAAAGTTCAAGTTGAAATTTTATTTATCAGGATTTTCCCAAAGTTCAAGTTCAAATTGTATTTATGAGGATTTGCCCAAAGTTCAAGTTGAAATTGTATTTATGAATATTTGCCCAAAGTTCAAGTTGAAATTGAATTTATGAAGATTTGACCAAAGTTCAAGTTGAAATTGTACTTATGAGGATTTGTCCAAAGTTCAAGTTGAAATTGTATTTATCAGGATTTTCCAAAAGTTCAAGTTGAAATTGTATTTATGAGGATTTGCCCAAAGTTCAAGTTGAAATTGTACTTATGAGGATTTGTCCAAAGTTCAAGTTGAAATTGTATTTATCAGGATTTTCCCAAAGTTCAAGTTGAAATTGTATTTATGAATATTTGCCAAAAGTTCAAGTTGAAATTGTATTTATGAGGATTTGCCCAAAGTTTAAGTTGAAATTGTATTTATGAGGATTTGACATAAGTTCAAGTTGAAATTGTATTTATGAATATTTGCCCAAAGTTCAAGTTGAAATTGTATTTATGAGGATTTGCCCAAAGTTCAAGTTGAAATTGTATTTATGAATATTTGCCAAAAGTTCAAGTTGAAATTGTATTTATGAATAGTTGCCAAAAGTTCAAGTTGAAATTGTATTTATGAGGATTTGTTCAAAGTTCAAGTTGAAATTGTATTTATGAATATTTGCCAAAAGTTTAAGTTGAAATTGTATTAATGAGGATTTGCCAAAAGTTCAAGTTGTAATTGTATTTATGAATATTTGCCAAAAGTTCAAGTTGAAAATGTATTTATGAGGATTTGCCAAAAGTTCAAGTTGGAATTGTATTTATGAGGATTTGACCAAAGTTTGACAAAAGTTCAAGTTGATTTAATTGGCCAGAGAAACAGTGATCAAACCCCATTACATGATAAATGGTAGAAAAGCATCCTTATTATCACCCTATACAGACTGTGCTATAAGAAAATGGTGCGGATATCATGTGCACACGGTGCGGACTTGAACAGTCATTTTTGAATTTGTGATATTTCATACACTAAGGCATGTCGGATACTCAATTATACCCACCCATTTGTAGAAGATATCTAATAAAAGAGAAAGTCTATGGATGTGTAATTCACTCTTTAACAACGCAGTATTCATCCTTTCTCCAAAGCAATGATTTTGAAATTGCTGCTTCAATAAACCATTTACAGCCTTCATTCAGTATTGCTGATCGAGATGACCAATCAATATAAATTATTTTTGCATTTTGAAAGTCATAAACTTACTGTGTGCATAGTTGAAACTTGGCATGATGCTATTCGTAATTGTTACATGGTACCATGTCACTATTAGTTGAGAGGTGGCAACATGCCAATTTGAAAATGTGACATGGCAGAATGTGACTTGCTAACTTGGTCCAGATGCTGGGCAATGTGTGTATTTTGTACTTGACAAAGATGCTAATTGTACTTGGTGCACATGGCATATTGAAGCACATGGCATATTGAATGGCCAGAGTGATTATTTATTCCGATTCAAACATGAAAACATTGTTCAGAGAATTGGGGATTGGAGCTCCATAAAATAACCAAACTGTTATTTTTGCCATTCATAGGTGTGACGTCACAATATATACATACCCAGATGATTGAGTAGAGCACGGCCGTGCATCTATGGAGGAATAGAGAACATTCATTATTGACTATGCTGCAATCTGATTGGTTAAGAAATTCAATTAGAGCAGTCATGTTTGAATTTGTCTGAAATTACAATTAATCATCTGGAATATTTTGTGTTTTCATTTCTTTCTTTTGAATGGCGCAGCCATGATAAATTTGTGATGGGGTTTTGATGATGTGATTTGTGATGGATACTTTGACATACATATAAAACTGTATTTGAGTTATTTCCTTGACAGATGGATGAACAGACGAATGAACTGTTTGGCTCTCTGTATCTCTCATGAACTGAGCACACAAGGATAATAACTTGAAAAATGATATCTTTTATATATATTTTCTGACTATTCACAGTTAGCAGATATTTATTATTGCTAATACAGTATAACCAAATGCTACACTTCACAATTCAGGGAACTATTGAAAAAGACACATGTAAACAAGGAGGACTGACTCCCAGCATCCATCTAAACAAAGAGGACTAGCTCCCAGCAGTCCTTGCCGATTCTCTGACATCAGAGAGTCCATGACCTTGTGGTCGCAAGATAAAAATGCGACAGCTCGTAAAATGGCATAAAGAACCAATTTGGTAATAATATTACCATAATTGTCATATATCGAGTTTCCTTTTAGGCAAATGAATAATACCATTCATCTATGCATATATCACCCATTCTCAATAAGAATGCAAAATAGGTGACCCAGGGCTCAATCTCAGCATTTACATTACCAACATCACTTTTTGTTGTATATATAAATAGTATATATGACCCTCTACCTAGCACGTTTGTAATATATGATTTCTCAGTTACACATATTTTATTATATGTACTAGAATAGGGCTATTCATCAGTTACGTGACTGTCGCCATATCAAAAATCAGGATTGTATGGTGCCATTAGAGAATTTTTCATGCATAACATCCCATATAAAGTGGTGTATTATACACAAGACGGTCCCAGCTTCTGGTTAAATGACAGAAACTATCATTTTGACATTTTTACCATGTTGAAACTGTTCCTTGACCAATGTCGCCAGACTTTTTTATATCAACCCCCCTGTGCTATAAATCATATAAAAACTGGTGAAAAATTGATGTTTCATATGTGCCATATACGTATCTGGATTCCAATTTGAATACTTAATAGAAAGTCGTAAAAGTTGATATTTGAAACGTTGAGATTTTGGGGCCAGAAAATTATAATTCCCGTTTTTCATGAAGTTATAGATAAGAAAATCATTTACGTGATCATAGTTTTCACAGGCAATAAGTGTCTGAGCAAATTAATGTTAAATCACCTTATTGTATGGTAGGAGTGATCCTTGTTGATCAGTATTTTTAACTAAATTGACATTGTTTGAATATAATACAGCCAGCAAAAGGGTATTTGCATCATTTACGACACCATCATTTACGATACTTTTTTTTTTTTTTTTTTTTTTATTCCAAATAACATATATACAATACATAATATTTACAATCTAAGAGCTTTTTCGCTCTCATAAAAAAACAATAAATTTCCCTCACAGTTCTTATATTTGAAATCATGAATAGTTTTCTTAATAACAAGGGTTTCGTAAAATAACTCTGGCTTCATTTCAGCCAGTCCTAACTTTTCGTTATTGTTTAACTGGCTACCTTGCCATAAAATACTTATAGAGGGACAAGTAACGAAAAAATGTAAGTTATCATCTCTTGCATTGCATTGTTTGCATAAATCACTTGTTTCTATTTTACATTTTTTTAGATAAACACCATTAGGGTATATGTTATGGAAAATCTTCCATTGTATAACTAACAGTGATGCTTCTTTTGTACAATGAAAAAGGGATTTCCATATTCCTTCAGATATATTTATCCCATCATATTTGATTTTGCATGTTCTTTTTAGAACAAGTGACTCTCTAATGTTTTGTGATGACACTTTCTTGATGTTAATATTGTTAAAATACAATGTGTCATCAGTGTTATTTAATTCATACAAATCCTGTTTTATGCAAGCTTTCAGCATATTATATTGTAACAAAGTTTGACCAGTTTTTCCGATTTTACATGTCATTTCCTCATAAGTACATAGTCTACCATTTTTAATAACATCATTTATAAATATTATTCCTCTATTTATCCAATTATAAAAAACCAAAGAGTGACCACTCCATGTAATGTTACAATTATTCCATAGGATGTTATTATTTCTAT